TGGGTTTATTCTCTTTAAAATAAAAATTATCCCAAAAACCTATCTTTCAAAATGGAGAAACAAAATACTTCCATGATAAACAACAACTGAAGAAATTAATGACCACCAAACCAACCCTACAAAGGATAATGAAAGATATTCTAAACAGAGATAAAGATGACCACAATTCCAAAAACAACAACTGAAAGAAACCACTAAGCAAGGCAAGCAACTAAACAGAGGGAAAATAGGGAACCAACACCAGAAAAATAACATGGCTAAGATAATCCAATACATCTCAGTTATAATCATCAATGTAAATGGCCTCAATTCACCAATCAAAAGAAACAGATTGGCAGAATGGATCAAGAAACAAATCTCAACAATATGCTGCATACAAGAAACACATTTAACTCAAAAAGACATTTATAGACCAAAAGTCAAAGGATAGAAAACAATACTCCATGCAGCAGGAACCCAGAAAAAAGCAGAAGTAGCTAGTCTGTTTGCCAACTATGTGAACCTCAAACCAAGAATGATCAAAAGAGATAAACAAGGTAACTATAAGGTAACAATCATAAATATATATGCACCAAATACAGGAGCACCAAATTATGTAAGACAAATATTAATAGACATGAAAAATCAAATAAACAATAACACAATTGTAATAGGGGAACTTCATATCCCATTGTCACAAAAACATAGATCAACTAGACAAACATTCAGCAAAGAAATAACCAAGATGAATCAAACCTGTGAACCAATGGACTTAGTAGATGTTTATAGTGTTCCACCCAACAACATCAGAATGCACATTCTTCTCACTTGAACACAGAACATTCTCTAAAATAGACCATATACTAGCCCATAGAACATGCTTAAATGCAAAGGAATTGAAATTATTCCATCCATATCATTTGAGGATAGTGCACTAAAATTGAAAATTAACAAAAGAAACCACAAAACTCTATAAATACGTAGATATTATCACCCTCCTGAACAACCAATGGGTGACAGATAAAATTAAAGAAGAAATTAAACATCTATAATCAAGTGAAAATGCAAATACAACTTATCAGAACCTGTGGGATGCAATGAAAGCAGTCCTAAGAGAGAAATTTATAACAGTGAATTCTCATATTGGGAAAACAGAATGAGCACAAATGCAACTAATGCTACACCTCAAACTTCTAGAAAAAGAAGAATTAATCAAACCCAAAGCTCATACAAGGGAGGAAATTATGAAGATCAGAGCAGAAATTAACACAATTGAAATTAAGAAAACAATACAAATCATTAATGAATTGGAGAGTTGATTCTTTGAAAGAATAAATAGTAATTTTATCCTAGCCAACCTTATCAAAAAATGAAAGAAAAGTTCAAATGCACGCAGTAAGGAATGAAAAAGGTGAAATTACTACAGATCTTGTAGGAATTCAGAAAATCAACAGAACCTACTTTGGAAATCTGTACTTGCATAGGATAGAACACACTGAAAGAGTGGGCAGATTCCTAGAAAGATACGAATTACCAAAGCTGAATTAAGGAGGTCTAAAGGTTCTGAAAGACCCAATCAGTTAATAAAATTTAAAAATGTAATTAATTACAATAATTATAAAGAAAAGCCTAGATCCTAAGGGATTCTTGGCTAAATTCAACAAGAAAATTATAAAACGTTTAATGCCAACATTCCTCAAACTCTTTAATGAGATTGAAGGGAAGAAATTCTCCCTAACTCATTCCGGAAGGCAACCTGATACTAAAACCAGAGAAAGACCTAATCAAAAAAGAGAATATAAGCCATCTGCCTAATAAACACAGATGCAAAAATCCTCAATAAAATACTAGCCAACATAATGCAGCAAAGCATTAAGAAGATTATGCACCATGACCAAGTGGGATAATGCAAGGATGTTCAAAATATGCAAATCAATAAATGTAATACACCACATCAACAGAGCCAAAGACAAAATCACATGATCATTTCAATAGATGCAGAAAAAGCTTTTGATAAAATCTAACACTCGTTCATCATAAAAACTCTACAGGAAATCTGAACAGATGATCTCTACCACAATATGATAAAAGCCATCTATGACAAACCAACAGCCAACATCATACTAAATGGACAAAAACGGAAAGCTTTCACTCTAAAATCAAGAACAAAACAAAGATACGCACTATCACCACTCCTAATTCAACATAGTTCTAGAAACATTAGTCAGAGTAATTAGACACAAGAGAGAAATAAAAGGACTAAGAATAGGAAACAAAGAAGTTATATTATCAATATATGCAGTATGATACTCAATATAGAAGACCCCAAAAAATCCACCTGAAGATTTCTAGATTTAACAACCAAATTCAGTAGCATAGCTGGATACAAAGTCAGCACTCAAAAAAAATAGCATTCCTGTACACAAACGACAGACTCACTGAGAAAGAAATTAGGAAAATCACATCCTTCACAATAGCATCAAAAAAATCCTAAATACTTAGGAATCTGTCTAACAAAGGAATTAAAATATCTATACATTGAAAATCACAGCACTCTGAAAAAACAAAGAGACTATCAGAAAATGGAAAGATAACCCTTGCTCATGGATAGGAAAAATCAACATTGTGAAAATGGCCATACTCTCAGAACTGTAATACAGGTTTAATGCAATCCCAATCAAAATACCATTAGCATACCTCACAGATCTAGAGAAAACATTCCTAAAATTCATTTGCAAACAGAAGAGACCTAAAAGAGCAAATGCAATCCTGGGCAGCAAAGGCAAGGCAGGAGGCTTCATGATTCTTGACTTGAAACTATATTATAAAGCATGGAACTGGCAAAAAAAAAATCTGAGGATCAGTGGTACAGAAGATGGTACAGAAGATCTTAGAAAATGCAGACACAACTACAGATACACTCGGCCACCTGATCATTAGCAAAGGGGCCAAACACACTCACTGCAAGAAAGATAGTCCCTTTAATAAATGGTGTTGGATAAGCTAGCTTTCCACATCCAAAGACTAAAACAGAACTGTGTCTATAACCATGCACTTACACTAACATCAAAATGAATCAAAGATCTAAATAATAAACACTAAATCTACTGGAAGAGAAAGTAGGTAGAAATCTTGAAGACACAGGTACAGGCAAAGAGTTCATGAATAAAATCCAGAACATATGGAAAATACTTCAAGAACCAACAACTGAGATCTCATCTTATTAAAAAGCATTTACACATCAAAACAAATCACCAATAGTGTGGAAAAGAAAACTCCCAGATTGGGAAAAAATTTGAGTCAACTGTCCCGTAGATTGAAGACTTCTATCCAAAACATATAAAGAAACTGAAAAAAAAATCAGGCCCCCTAATTTCAAATACCTAATTCAAAAATGGGCAGTTGATATGAATATGCACTTCTCAGATGAAGAAATACAAATGGCAAATAAATGTATGAAAAAATGTGCAGCATCATTGTTCTTTGCAGAAAAGCAAATTAAAACAACACCAGTTCCACCTCACTCCAGAAAGAATGGTTATCATCAAGAAACCAACCAGTAACAAATTCTGGAGGGCCTTTAGGGAAAAGGGAACACTTCTCCGTTGTTGGTTGGAGTGCAGACTGGTAAATCCACTGTGGAAATCAGTATGGAGATACCTCAGAAAATTAGGATTAAAGGTCCTATTTGACCTAGCTATTCCCCTTTTGGGTGTCTTCTCAGAAGAATTTAAAGCATTATACCCCAGCAATATAGGTTCACCCATGTTTATAACAGTACAATTTGCAAGAGTTAAACGTTGGAAACAACCCAAATGCCCATCAACCAAGTAATGAATAAAAAATATGTGGTATTTTTATACAATGGAGTACTACTCAGTTATAAAGAAGGGTAAACTCAAGGCTTTTATAAGTAAATGAATACAACTAGAGACCATGATCATGTGAAATAAATCAGATTTGCTTGTATAAACACGTACTATCTCCCTAATGTAAGGAGCTGAAAAAGTAAATAAGATCCAAAACCTACAACAGATATTGTGAAAGGGAAAGAAACTGCTCAAAATGAAAGACCTGGAATTGGGGAAAGAAAAATAAAAAGAAGGGAAAATACATTTGTGTGTGTGTGTATATATATATATATATATATATATATATATATATAACAATACACAATATATTAACCATTGTTAATTTCCTATTATCTTGTTTTGAAATACTGCATCATTTCTATTGTTTCTTTTCTCCTTAAAAATATAAACTAAATTCCCACACATGTATGGTCTAATTCTGGACCATCTGTTCTGTTCTGTTGATCTAATTGTCTCTTTATATCCATTCCATACTATCTCAATTACAGTAACTTTACAATTCTTAAAATTAGGTAGTATAAGTCCTGCCACTTTATTTTTTTTAAGAGTTAGCTTGGCTATTCTACATCTTTCTAATTTCCTTGTGCACTTTAGAATCAGCTTACCCATTTTTGCAAGGAAAGCCTGTTAAAGTTGTGACTGGGAGTGTTTTGACTGTATAGAGTAACTCAGAGAATTAACCCCTTAAGGACTCTGAATTTCCCAATTTCATGAACATGGTCTACCTCTCAGTTTACACTGGTCTTCCCTGATTTCTCTGAGCCTAGTTTTATAGTGCTAAGTATACAAATCTTCCATATTTTTGTCAACTTCATCCCTAAAATATTTTATATTTTATATATTATATTTTGGACATGCATTTTTAAAATTTCAATTTCCTATTGTGGCTGTTTTGTATTTTTCTTGTATCTTAGCATCTTGCTAAAATCATTAGTTCCAGTAGCTTTTTAATAGATTCTTCAGGATTTTTTTTTTAGTTAGCCAATGACTTTATTGCTTGGGCACATAGACAAATGTATGCAATCAGGGCAGAGACTATGGGTGAGTCATTTTCCCTTTGTGGAGGAGGACTTGTTTGGTCTCATAATATTGAGTCAGTTAATACATTTGGTTATCAGAGCCAGCCAGAATTTATCATCCTTTTCCTCCTCCTTCTTCGTCTTCTCAAGATGTTTGTAAACAACTGCTTTCTTCCTGATGATCCCCAGGAAGGTCAAGAGGGATTCTTTCGGATGTGATACATTCTCCGGCTTTTAGCCCCTATTCCCAAGCACACTTGTGCAACACCATCACGTCCCTCCACATCACATTGATTTGCAAAGGAGTCAGGCCCTTACTGGCAAGTTTGTGAATTCATGTCATCAGCTATCAATTTCTTCCAGGTGGGGACACTGATGTGATGATAGGGCACAGCCAACTGGGTCAAGCCCTTCCCAGGAACGTACCATCCCATGGTGGCATCGGTCACAGAACAAAAAAAGCCTACACGATTTTTCACATGGACCATTATCTTTCCATCACTAGACATGTTCTTCTTCTTCCTTTCCAATCTGAAAAGGAATGGATAATTTTTATTTTTTATTTTTATATCATCTTTTCTTATTTCACTAACTAAAGCCATCAGTAAACGTGTTGGATAGAAGCAGAGTAGGTAGAAACCTTGTCCTCTTTCTAATCTTCAGGGGAAAACTTTATTTTTCACTCTCAAGCATGAAGTTAGCCATCAGTTTACCATAGCTGCCCTCTTTTAAGTGAAAGAAGTTCCTTTCTGTTTATGGACAACTTTGGATCCTAAATAAACGTCAGATTACGTCAAGTGGTGTTTGTTGGTGGGTGCTGTTTTGTTCCTTTTATTGAGGAGATCATATTTTTTTCTTTTTTTTTTTTTTTTTTTAGTGTGTTAACCCATTGACTGATTTGTAATGTAAAGTCATCTTTTTGTTCCTGGAATAAAACTCCACGTGGACCTATAATCCTAGCACTCAGGAGGCTGAGGTTAGAGGATTGCCAAAAGTTCAAGGCCAGCCTGGATTATAGAGCAAGACCGTGTCTAAAACACAAAACTCAAATTGGTCGTGGCATATTTTCCTGCTTCCACATTGTTAGATTCTGTTCATTAGACTTTTATTAAGAATTGTTGTGCCTATGTGCATGAGAGATATTAGTCTGTAGATATATTTTCTTGTAACATCTTTATCTAGCATTGGCATCAAAACAATGGTGGCTTACCAGCGTGAGATGGAAAGCACCCTCTCCACCTAAAATTGCAGCCCCAGTCTGTGTATAATTGATGCTATGCGCTAAACTGTGTGTTCTCAGACCTTGTGTGTTGAAGTCCTAGACCCAGTGCATTGAAATATGATCATGTTAGGAGGTTGGGCCTTTAAAGACATAATTATATTAAAATGAGAAGAGCTGCTAGTCCATTCCATGTTCCATGAAAGCAGAAGCTAAACATGGCATGTGACTGGAGTACTTAAGAACAGAGTGTAATTTGAAGGCCAAAGATACCTAAGGGAGGTGTTTGCACAGAGGAAGGATCACGGGAGGTCACTGTGAACAGGACACTGTCCACAAACCGAGGAGAGAGGCCTCAGAAGGAAACCAGCCGCACCAACACCTTTATCTTGGACTCTCAACCTTTAAGGTTGTGAGAAAACAGGTCTTGTTGAAGCCCCCAGGCTGTGGCATTTTCTATGGCATCCCTAAGTAATGCAGTTAGTATTATTTATTCTTTAAATATTCAGCTGAATTCCCTAGTAGAGTCCTCTGAACCTGGAGTTTGTTCATGGGATGCATACTCTAGAAGGCTATTTAAACTTGGGAGGCTGAGACAGGAAATTCCCCCAAGACAGACACTTTTTGTTGTTTTTTTTGTTTGTTTGTTTGTTTGTTTTTTTCTCTCTTTTTCCTTTTTATCGGTACCGGGGATGGAACTCACAACTGCCTGCTGGCAAGGCAGGCGCTTATGCCGCTGAGCTAAATCCCCAGCCCCAAGACAGACACTTTTAAACCATATCTTCTATAACTATAAGGCTATTTCCAGTTGTGTGAGTTTGTCTTTTAAGGAAATTGACCATTTTATCTTAGTTGTTGAATATATCCTTATGTTCATATTCATACCAAAAACAAGAAAATAAAAATCTCAAGTCATTTTGTCTACATATGACCATTTACTAATCCACTGTATATATCACTCCAAATGACTTGTGTGTGGGTGCACACTGATCCTCTCTGATTGAAAACAACTACTATTACTCTGTATATACTGGGTAGGATTTTATAATATCATCAAATATTTTGTGAGGATATGTTTATAGATGGATGGTTAATAACTTGCTTTATAAATCCCTTCATCTAAATTGCTTCTGATTAGAAGGGCCCTCATAAAAGTATGCCAGTCAGTATCTTTTTTTCATCTGTCCCTGGGAAAAACTCAAGTTTGTATCTTGGTTTCCAACCCTAGAAGTGGAATTTCTGGGTTGACCAGTTTATTATTGACTTCATTATTGAGCACATTGTACTCTGTAGAGGGAGGGCAGGAGCAGAAGAGCCCATCCCTCCCCTGGAGGATCAGGCCTCGCTACAGCCTGCCCAACCAGGGCCTGCAGAGGGAATTCCACTGGAGAAAGTGGCAGTGGAGCTGTTCACCGGCTCCCAGGGGTCCTGACCTTCACCTCCTTAATGTAAATTTCTGTGGCTCACGATCACCTACAGGCCAGAGGCAGTATCTCAGCGTGCGGTCTGCACAGGGCCTTGGTGCTTCCTTTTTTGGAGGATGATGGCATCATCCAAACAAAAATAAAATCCCAGCCTTGTGCAGACAGGGACCAGTCTTACCACTTCCAGCCTTGTTGCACAGGGAACCCCATGGCTTTTGGAGGAAATAAGGGCCTCGGCTCTCCAGGAGCCACCAGTCTGGGGGAAGTGTCAAGATCCACAAATCAAAACACACAGAGATAGCTGCAAAGGAATGCGTAAGCAACTGCAAATTAACGCCTTCCCACATGAGGATGTGTGATGGGATGCAGTGACGTTTTTTCCAGGGTCACTTCCTGGGAAGGAGAGGAGCCTAGTTCCATAAAGAAGAAGCTGGGCAGAAGAAGGGTGGGGGCTGGGCGAGGGGGGGGATGAATGCTACCTGAGATGGGCCAATTGGCTGGGGACAACTGGAAAAGGAAGCTGACAAATCTCAGGGCAGGAAGGGAAGCTCTAGGAGGCTCCTTTCTATCCCTTGTCAGCAGGTCGGGGACCACTAAGACAGAAGGATCCCTGTACAGGTAAGAGGACTATTGGAAGGTCAATTTCTCTCCCTCCCACCCACGCAATTCACCTCAGCACTGGAGAGCAGGCCCCTGCTTTGTAACAAACAGGTCTCTAAAATTGAGCCCCATGGTCACAGGACACTGATACCTGCTAGGATGGTCCTTATTCTATGAGATCTGTACACTCATTCCACAGCTGAGGACACAGAAAACAGAGAAGGACCATTCCCATGAAAGGAACTGAGTTTGATAGAGATGGGAGCCCCTTCAGCATGACTCCTCAGTCTGATGTGGGGAACTCCTCCAGGACTCCCCTTTCTTCTTTCCATTCCTTTCCTGCACAACATCCCAACAAGCACCAATTTGTGCTGACTCTTGAGTATACCAGACCCTCAATCAGAGGTGATGGTGCCTCTCATTCAAATAACCAAGGACATTTCTGGTCATGACAACTCCAGGATGGGTGAGAGAGGGCAGCACATGAAGGTCAAGGATGCTGCTGTGCTGCTGGGATACAGTGGGCAGCCCCACAGAAGGGAGGGCTGCATTTGGCAGGTCAGTCAAGCCAAGCAGGACTGCCCTTCCAGATGTGAGGTGGGGCACTTCCTGCCAGATGGACATGCCCAAGCCTTTCTAGTCTTAGCCAGGTGGAGACATGGACAGTGACCTGCTTCCAGATGTACAAAGTCCCCTTCCAGATGTAGGTGGGGGGCCTGCTATAGATTCTGTACTAACTCCCTTTTAGATAGACAACTTAAGTACATGGTCCCCTTTGACAATCTTTTCTTTGACCAAACTACTCAGGCCCCTCTGAATTCTCTCTCGGGCTGGGCTTGGATGTATGTCTTCCGTGGCCTGCATCATCTAGCTTTAGCAAAGAGGCTGATGAGTTGGTTTAGCTGGAACCTCTGTCCTCTCTCTCTGTTTGATCATCCTTCATGACTGATCAGGTCCCTAGCCTCCACTGCCTCCTAGGTGGTGTCCAATCACTCTAGCATCTTCAACAATAAGCCTGTTGAGTGAGTTCAGCAGGAACCTCCTCATCCCTGGGGTTTCCTCTTGGTAAATTTCCATTCATCAAAACCACCCTACTCCTTAGCTAGAAACTCCACTTCTTGTTGCTATATTTGAGCTTGAGTCCAGTTTCTCCCCCTCACCCTGAGATCCCATTACAGTGGCCTCTGCACTTACCAGGATGCCCCATCTCTGAATAAATTCCGTCCTAGTGTGCTTTGGCAAGTGTCACTGAGTAACTTTCTCTTTGGCGTCTTCAGATGGAGATAGAGAGGTCTTTGGGCCCATTTCCTGTCAGGTACAAACAGACACATACACACACACACAACACAGAAGCCAACTCTTTGTCAGGTACCTAAATCCCCAGTAAGGCAAAACAGAGTACACTGGAGGTGGGGATTTTGCCAGTTAGCTGTGGGCAGGGCTGTGGCAGTGGGAGGGAGGAGGTGGAGCCTGCTTTTTCTAGGGCATCTGTCACTCGCCTCCTGCCCGGGGCATTGCCCCAGCCCTAACCTGCCAGTGTGTGTGGCAGTGTAAAGCTGGGGCCTGCTCCCCAGAACCTCCAGAGCACATCAAGGAGATTTCAAGACTTATGTCCCTGGCTCCCCAGAACCCAGAACATGGCACATGGGGCTCTGGCCAGCCCCAAAGGGTTCAGGAAGAAGGTGCTGGTTAGATGGTCCTCTGGGTGGAGGGACCAAAGCCTCAGGGCCTCTTCTCCATTGAGATCCTCCAGGTAGGTGCCTGCTGCCGTGGGATGGAGAGGCTCAGGGATGGGGGCCTGTGCCAGCTTCTAAAATTCATTTTTGAAAGGAGAACTCTGAGTTTGAGTGCTGGGCTGAGAAATGTCACTGCATTTTCAACCCTAGAAGGGCCTGGGGGAAATTGAGTCAATCGTCCTACAGCACTTGAGGCCCAGAAAGGCTAAAGGATCTGCCTATGGTCACTCAACAATTTGGAAGTGGATCCAAGAACCCAGGACTCTTGGCTCTGGGTTCTAGACCCGGCTTCCAGGTTAGGTCACATGACACCAGGCCCCAGGACTCTGTGGAGCGTGAAGAGGAGGGGCCGGCTCTGACCTGTGACAGTAGCTTCCTGTCTTAGTAGCTGACGGGTGGGTGGAGGGAAGGTGGTCTTGGCCTCCTGGCTACGCCACCCTGGGGTGTGTTTCTCTAGGATGGGCAGGTGGAGTATTAATCACAGAACCGGGTGCCAAGAACTGGAGCATTGAGGAGCAGCCCGGGAGATGCCTGCGCTGAGGCCCGGAACTGCAGGATGGTGCGGGGTACAGACTCAGGCTCAGGTCTCCTCTCTCAGGTCCAGCCTGGGTGTGAAGAAGATCTTGGCCATCGCCATCCTGGCCAGCAGTGGTGAGCATAGCTCTGAGAGCCCCCCTCCCCATGACCCTGGGTACCTTGGTGGTTGCCCCATGGCCAGGGGGTTCCTTCCTCTCTCTAGGCTTCCACTTCCCTGTCAGGCTTCATCCTCTCCTCTGGGGCTGTTTACCCCTCAGCCACCCGTAAACATGCCAGGGGCCTTGGCATTTACGAGCCACGAGGGAGGAGGGTGCATTGCTGAGCAAGCATCGTAAAGTGGTGGTACTGGTGAGTGTGTGTATACTTAAGCATGTGTACATGTCTGAGGGACTTAATGAGTTTCTGTGCAGCTAGATGCAAGTGTGTGTGTTCTTGGGTGTGTCAGAGCACATGCGAATATCTGTGTGTGCAATGCAGGTCTATAAAATGTGTGTCAGGGTTGACACTGAATGAGCCTATGTGTCAGCGTGAGTGTGCATTAATTAAACATCTCCAGGGTGTGAGTGTGAATGTAAGGTACACACCTCTGCACAGGACAGGTGTGGGTCTGTAGGCTCCGTTCCAAGGGCCGGTGGTCCAGTCACCCCGGGTGGGGGCAGCTGCCCCACAGGACCATGAAGTGGGGCTCTTGAGACAACTCTGACTCCACCTCACATCCTGATGCTCCCTCAGCATCTCCACGGGATTAGGTGTGCATTGTCACTTGGACATCTTTCAGGTGTTTTATACTGTCGTTAAACACAGTCTGGTTTGTGGAGAAGTAAATGCCAGAAACAATTAAGAGGTTCAGTGTGGCTGGACATGAGGCAGGCCTGTTTGCATAGGAGTGTGGTGACCTAATTAGTTACAAAACTACGGCTGTGTCCAGCCCAAGAGCCTTCGGCTGATCTGAACACAGGCTGGGTGTCTTCTACCTGTAGTGTGTGTGTGTGGTTGTGACCTTGGTTCAGGCCGCTGATTCCTTTCTGGGGGCCGCGTGTGTGAGCACATCTGTGATGTGTGAGAATGAGTGTTTGCAGCTGTGTGACGTGTGCAGGTGTACCAGGGGCCTGTGTAAGCACAAGTGCATGCGTTACGTATATAGTGTAAAGCAGGGTGTAAGAATGAGCCTACCCTTTGTGTGGTCAGGTAAGCTCCTACTCTGCTATTGCTTTGGGGCAGGCTGGCATTCAGGGGTTCTGGGGCCTGGAACCACCATACCCCCCATAACATCCACAAAACTGATGAGGGGAGAAAGGGCCCACATTAGGTTCATCCTCAAGATGCTGCAGGCTAGGTGCTGTCTGCATATTAATGGTCACCCTTAGGCCCAGGGCCCTGTAAAGGGGCATCATTCTCCCCAGTCATCAGATTTTAGAACTGAAGTCAAGTTCCCTAGGGACTTTGTTAATCCTGTTTTCCAGCCCAGGCCTGGTCCCAAGCGGCTTTATAGACACAGTTTTCTTCCAGAGAACTCAGTAAGAGGGTGGAGAGTGGCCCAGTCAGCTGCTCTCTACAACAGCCCTTTCAGGCCACCAGCCCTCGGTCTACACGTAGGAGAAGGGCTCAGGACCCTCCCTGCCTGCCCTTAGCCCCAGCTTTGCACTGTTGCTTCCTCTCTGCTTGCATTAGTGTGTGTATGTGTGTGTGTGTGAATATGCTTGTGCGCACCTCTTCAGTGGTGCTAAGCCATTCTCTTCAGAGTCATCTGTCATTTCTCCCTTGTTGTCCTCTTTCCTCTTCTTTGTTCTTCATTCTCTGAATCATGGAAACCATTGTTAAACCCAGGAAGACTGTGGGGAGCAGGAGTCCCAACCTCTGCACTATGATGGTCAGACAGGCCAGAGCGCCACAAAGTCTTGTGAGGGGGCACCGTGGTGGCTGCAAGGATCTGGAATGTGCCAGGCTCAAGCCAAGTGCTGGCCTACAGGTTTCTCCCAGTCTAGATGGCCATTCCCACTGTACAGATGGGGAAATGGAGCTCTAAAAAGTTTTTGTGTTTGGTTCAAGTGTTTCTGACTCCAAAGTCTGAGCTCTTCCAAGTTGGTTGAAGTGAGTGAGTTCTCCATCGCTAAAAGTTTTGGACAGCCACATCTCAAGAAGCAAGAATAGCTCTTGGGTTCACCCAGCCTCCAGTTTCTGAAATTTTCAACTCTCTCTCTCTCTCCCTCTCTCTCTCCCTCTCTCTCTCTCTCTCTCTCAGAACATTTCCTAGTTCATGCAGTAAGGCACAGTGGGGACCCTGGAAGGATCAGGAGGCTCTAAGCTAAGCACTTAACTCTGGATGCAGCTGGAGGAGCCCAAGGGTAGAGACTGCAGGCAGGGTCTGCAGTGCGTGCTGGTTAGCATCCCAGTTTGGGGGTGACAAACTCTGATTTCATTCTGTGCTCTGCCACTTGCAGCCTGTATGATAAGCCTTCACCTTTCTAGTCCTTAATTTTCTCATCCATAAAATGGAGATAGAGTGACTTTTCTGCTGGTGTATAGGGTGGCTTCCCCCAGAAAATGATGTAGGCATCAAGACCATGCATCCCTGCACTGGGTGGGCCTCGTGAGCACCGGGAGTAGATTTGACTGGTATTGGAAGTATTCTTGCACTGTTGCTTCCTCTATGCATACATTTGTGTGTGTGTGTGTGTGTGTGTGTGTGTGCACACGCATGCGTGTGCATGAATATGTGAATGTGTAGTACTTCCAACCCCCAGCCTGCTTTAGCCTGCAATAGGAAGCCTTTCTTTGGAGTAAGCCTGGGACGCACCAAGTGTAGGTCTGAGGTGGGGACCCCAACTCCCATCTAGGAGCATAGACATCATATAGGGACCAGGAAGGGAGCGGAAGGACCAGAAGCGGAACGCTATGACTTCTAACCACATGTGGCGTTTGCAGCGCCCCCTCCAGTGTGTGAGGCATGCGGGCAGCTACTCTTTGGGGGCCCAGATCGTGACAGTTTGACTTGAGTTTTGGAGTTTATGATGGGGCAAAAGCAATACACATTCACTAGAAACCATATTTTGAATTCTGAATTTGGATATTTTTCCAGGCTGGGGATACATAGGGTAATCTTACAATGGGTTTACCAGGATGCACCACCATAAGTAGAGAAGCATTTGTACACCCAAGGGGCACAGAGTATGGGTGAGGAACCCTCACTACGCAGGTCCTGGTTCTGTCTCCATTGTTTTCTGACAACTTGACCTTGGGAAAATTAAAAATCTCTCCAGCCTCCGTCTCCTTATCTGTAAAGCTAGATGGCAACTGTAGGGCTGCAAGGAGCCCTCTCCAATGGTGTGTGGAAGAGCTCGGTACAGTGCCTGGTATGGAGTGAGCGCTCACCTAAAATGAACATGCTGGCTTCCCAGCAGTAATGCACCATCTTTGGGACTCTGCAGATTTCCTCTCTGCTCGGCTGCTGCTGCCCGCCCTCTCCTGCTTTCCTCCTTCCCTTCCCTTTCTTCTGGCCCGGGGGAGAGGGAGGGCAGTCATGGGGTGGGGCTCACGCGTTCTCCTGGTTCCCTTGCAGTTCTGTCCACTGCCCACAGCAGCCTGTTCAACCTCAAGTCCATGGTGGAGACTATCACAGGCAGAGGTGCCATCCTGTCCTTCGTGGGCTACGGCTGCTACTGCGGGCTGGGGGGCCGCGGTCAGCCCATGGATGAAGTGGACTGGTAGGTGCTGGTGGTGCGGGCTCTTGTTGAGAATCAGGTGGCAGGGGATAGCTGAAAGTCCATGTCTGTGAGGACAGAGAAAGCCCTCTCCCAAAAGACAGGGCTTTTTCATGTTAGTGGCAAGGAGCCGGATCTTTGACCATGTCTACCCCACATGTCTTGGATGCTTTCTGTTGTCTTCCTCTAACGCCTTGGGCATACAAGTGTATGAACCTTTGATGGGTCCCCAAATGCATAAGGGAGCAACAGACACATGGCTGATGCTCTGAAAGGTGAGGGCCACGGCATTGCTCCATCAGATTGGAGGCTCTGGCGGGCAGTGCTGCGCTCCCTCAAGCCAAGGCTTCTGCTCCTCTCACAGCAGCCAGTACCGGGTCTGGCAGCACTGGGAAAGTAATAAATGCATGCTGACCATCGACTTCATCCTCCTCCAGAGGTGATGGGGGCAGCCACTCTGCACCCACTTCCCGTCCCCCCTCCTGAAAATTCCCACTGACCCTCCAGACCTTAGCCCTCCCTGGACATCAGGCCCAGGCAGGTGGAGCCTCTGCATGCAGCCAGAGCTCCTCCACACTGACTTAAGGCCAGGTCTTCCCACCCTGACCTCATTGCTGGACCCCTTCTCCCTGAGCTCCAGTACGCTGAGCTCCTGCTGGGGAGGAGGGGTACACCCTCTGTACCTGCTGTACCTGCCTGCTCACCCCTGCCCACCCCCAGGTGCTGCCATGCCCATGACTGCTGCTACCAGAAGCTCTTTGACCAGGGCTGCCGCCCCTATGTGGACCACTATGACTACGTGATCGAGAACGGCACTGTGATTGTCTGCAGTGAGTCGCGTTCTCAGCCCCGGTCTCATCCCGTGTTTGCCCCACTGCACTGGGATTTCAGGCAAACAATGAAAAACAAGAAATGAAAATGAATGAGCGTGTCCCAAATATTGCATGGGACAAACTGACACAGTAATTAGATGTCGGTCTGAAATTGTCATTAGCATAAAACCAAGAACTACCATAAGCAAGCATTTGGTATTAGCACGAATAAGCACAAGCACAAATTAATACAAGTGCTTTTTTTGCCCCACTCAATCTGGGGGTGGAGGCAGGGGTGGGGGTTCACCCTGGGACTGGAGGGAGGGAGCCATGGAGAGGAGAGTTACTGGCAAGGGTGGGCCTTTGATTTTCTGGGTGACTTGGATAAACCCACGCCCTTTCTGGGCCTCTGTTCCTCCAACTATACAATGCCCACGTTGGACTTCAGCAGTTTCCCGATTTTAGCCTGCATCAGAGTCATCATAGAGTTTGTTAAAACAAATTGAGGACCCTGTTCAGGGCAGCTGGCCCCAGCCTGGGACAGGGCTCAGGGTGGTGCTGGCGCTGCTGGGCCTGGGGCCACATTCTGAGGGCCACTGGGCTCTTAAGATCTGAGCCCTCCCCCACAAGCCTCCTGCATCCTGTTGGGGCTGCTGCCCCATCAGTCAGAGGCTTGCACCCTTCCCATCCGCAGGTGAACTCAACGAGACAGAGTGTGACAAGCAGACGTGTGAGTGTGACAAGAACGTGGCCCTGTGCCTCAAGAACCGGGAATACAGGGAAGAGTACCGTGGCTACCTCAACATTTACTGCAAGGGCCCCATGCCCAACTGCAGCATCTACGACCCACACCCAGAGGAGGTCACCTGTGGATATGGCTGCTCAGCAGCCTCCGCCCTGCCCCAGCACCTCTAAGGCCAGGAACTAGGTCTGAGGAGGAGGAGGGTTTGGCTGGAGGCCAGACTGATGGAGCATACGGAAATGGGCCAGATCTGAGCCCAGTGGTCCCCTGTTGTCCCCTCCCCAGAGCCCTACTGAGACCCCACCAGCTCTTCCAGCTCAGCCCTGGAACGGAGGCTTCCTCTTACCCCTGATTCTGGCCTTGGTAGGAAGCACATGGCTTGTTGGGGTCTCTCCAGAGTATGGAAGGCAAGACCCAAGAAGGAAAAATGGACCTCTGTTGCTGGTCCCAGCCCGACTCCAGAGTCTGAGACCTGGCCACTTCAGGCCTCTAGGACAGACCTGGCTCGGGATAGTTTATCTCTGCTTCAGGGGCTTGTGGCACTTTAGAGCCCTATTAACTGAGCTGGTACCCCTGCCCCCCATGCTCATGGAAATGGCACAGGAGTCCCAGCCCAGACACCAAAAGGATGTCCCAGTCCCAAAATCCAAGAGCCTCTGAGCAAGTGACTCTGTCCTGGGAGCGTAAGAATTAGGATGCAGGTGCACGGGATATACCCCCAATATGCACAGCTCTTCTCCATGACCTTTGACCCAGGCACACAAGAGATGCACCCTGCCCTGCTCATATATTGCTCTGAGGAGCAATATATGAGTGTCCTCCAGCACAGAGAGGCAGGACCAGCACCCCGGTATGCGCTGAAGCAGCCAGGCTGAGACACAAGACACTGATGCTCTGTCCAGTGCCAGGTGTCAGGAGTCCTGTCCATGAGAAGAGGCTGAGAGTGAGACCCACTCAGTGAAGAGGGACAAAAAGATGGAAGGGGAAGTGTGGAGGCAGGAGGCTGGAGGAGGGGGCGATGTGGTTATGAGGGAAGGGGGCAGGAAAAGGCAGGATGGAGGCCTCTGGGCATGCTGGCAGAGGTGAGGGGCCCGGCTCTACACCATGCCTACCTCTGTGCCCAGCACTGTCTTGCCAGGTCTCGGTTCCCAGCTGGCCTCACCTTCCATGTAGGGTCAGGGACTCCACTCAGCAACCCTACCTTCCACCACCTCCTGCCTCAATCTGCGTCAATCCCGAGGAGCCCCAGGAGCCATCTGCTCTGCAGACAATGACAAGACCCACCAAGAAGTTCAGTCTGCTCGGCAGTGTCCCATGGGCCACTGTCACTGGGGAAGAGAGCCAAGCCTGACTGGAGGGGGAAGCAGGAAGGAGCATCTGCAAGGAAGACAGTAGAACAGGCCAGAAGCCTTACCCAGCCACACAGCAGCTTCTGGAACAGCAGCCCTGGGACCGAGGGGTCGCTGTGCCTGGGTCTGACTGTGCTGTGACCAAACCTGCCCAGTCACGGGAGCTCCCTCATCTGCCCTCTCAGGGGTCTGCCCAGCAAGCCGCCACCTCCTTCCTCCTCAGCTGGCCAAGTCCCAGCCCACCAAGCCAGTGCAGAGCTGGGATGGACAGGACACTCCAGCCTCTTGCAGGGTCTTTGCCCCTGGCCTATGGGTCGTCTACCAGTGCACAATCTCCTCTTCTGAAGGTCCGTACTTGCATACAGGGAGGAGGCTCTGCAGTTATGGGGTCCCTCCACCCCCTTTTCATCCCAGGCTCTCCCAGATGCTGCAGCTCCCAAGAATCTCCTCCACATGATTCAGCACCCCCTTCTCAAATGAATAAAGGCCTTCTGTCTCAGATCGCTCTGCGGGGTCCTCCTTGGCCAAGGTTCAAGGGCACAGGAGTCATTCCAGGGTCCTCAGCCCTGGGAAGGCAGGGCTGTCACTGGGCAGCTGGGACATCTGGTCCCTTCTGTCCCCCTGCCTGGGGATAAAGCAGTGCTGCTCCAGAAGAAGAAGGCACAGGCTAGAAAGGCTGGAAAGGCTGGAAAGGACTGCCAAGGCCAAGGGCACTGGACCTGTGATCCCATATGGGACAGTGACAACAAGACCAGGTGTCGATCTCTACAGTGCTGTCTGCACCCTTTTATGCTGAACAGCTGAAGCTCAGAAAGGGAAAGCAACTTGCCCAAAGTCCCACAGGCCTTAAGCTGGGCTCTGAATTACAAATGCCTGACTTTTAACCGCACCTTCTTACACCTCCCTAATGATGGCAGGCAGCCAGGTCACAAGAAAGAGTGACTGAGGTCCTGGATTGGTAGCTATTATTCTTTCCCTCTGCAGCAGTTTATCTATTGTCCCATCTGAGAAATGGGACCACATCCCCAGCCTGAAGGGTTACAGGTGTAACACAACAGTGGGGAGGAAAGGGCTTTGTGAGTTGAGTAGGAATGGAACTCATGACTGCCCGTGGGTGCCACATGGTGTGGAGAGCACAGATGGACACCCCAAGTCCATGGCTGTCCCCCAGGTGTCCCAGAGGTGATTGGGGTGGAGCTGGGGGTCTCCCTGGAAGCTCCTGGGGTGGGGGTCTCTCCTTCCTAGAACTTCTGGTCATTCTTTCCAAACGTTGAGGATCAAGGAGAGGGCTGTCCTTGCTGTCTCCTGGCCTTGAGCTGCCATCCTTCCCAGATCTAGGTCCATCCATCCCATCTTTTCTACTTCCTAGAGACTCATTCCCCCGCTCCCTCCCCCGCACCCCTTTTGGAGATTTGAGACCCTCCTTTTCCGGACCAACTCTTTTCTAGAATTTGGGCGACACCTAGTGACCATTAGCAGTCACCACAAGTGCTCCTCTGCACCTCCACCCTCCGCTGTGAAAAGACCCGGCCCTAGGCAAACAATGACCAGAGGAAACAAGGACCTTGTTAGGATCCCCTCTACCATCTTATTACCACCACCGGCACACACAAGGAGAGGCCCTGGAAGCCCTCAGCAGACGGGGTGGCGCTCCCAGCTCAGTTTCTCACAGGCTGCGTGGCCTTGGGCAAATCACTTCACCCCGTTAGCCTCTGCTTCCCACCTTCTGTACGGCGCGATTAATACTGGGGTGCATTTGAGAGGCTTGGTTGTTAAATGCAGTCAAGGATGAGAATATCGAGGCACAGGGCCTGGCAGGGAGGACAGAAACCGTCAGACAAGACAAGACAAGACCGAGTACTTTGGGGTCACAAGGGGGCCCGAAGTCCTCGGGGTCACAATGGCCAAGAGGAGCCGGTAGGAGGAGCTGTTGGTAGAAGTCGAGTGTCTGCAACTTTTTCCCCTCAAACAGAATCAAAGCTGTAGCTTCGCAAGGAACTTGGCTCTCAGTATGTGGGTGTGACGGGGAGAGAAAGGAGGGTAAGGGGGGAGGGTGGGGGAGGGTGGATGGGGAGGAGGAGGGGAAAGGAGAGAGGGAGGAGGAGGAAGGGGAGGAGGAGGAAGGAGAGGAGGAGAGGGAGGAAAAGAGGAGGCGGAGCAGGAGGTAGAGGAGGAGGAGGAGGAAGGGAAGAAAAACAGAGAAAGCCAGGTTCTGAGGGCATTTATTGTCCCCAAACCACAGCTGGTGCCTGGGCACTCTACCTGACCTAAACATCAATGGGGCCCTAAAGCCATCACCTTCTGTGCCCAGCCTTGACCAGGACTGGAGAGAGGCAGCCTTTTCCTCCCCAGCTTCTCTAGCTATGTCCTTCTAATGAGCAGCCAGTGCTAGGGGCCACCAGAAAGCACCCCGGGAAGGAAGAGGGGCACACAAGTGTCAGTGTTCACTGCCAAAAGGACACCGAGGCCCAGAGAGGAAAACAAGCTTCTGTGAGATCCTTGTCACCACAAGGATTGCTCCTTCTCTCCAATGTCTTCAATCCAGCTGCCCCAGCCCTGTGCATCCTCAGCACCAGCCAGAACCAGAATGTAGGGTCCTGCCCACTGTGAACCTGGGGGCAGCCCCCCAGCTCTCCCTCTCCCTAGTCTCTCCTGTTCCTGCCCAGAGCGACAGTCAGATGGCACTAGATCCAAATGCCTGCTCTGCAGTCTGCTAGCTGTGTGGCCTTGGGCAAGCCCTTCACTGCATCAAGTCTCAGTGGGCTGGGGACTTTAATGGCACCTGTCTGGGGACTGGTGTTCAGCTGTTCCAGGTGCCTGGGACAAGGTGAGCCCTCGGTACCTGAAGGCTGTCTCCTCCAACTGCTGAGGCTTGGAGAATACAGCTGGACTCTCCCATCTGCCACCCAGCCTCTCGGGGACACCCAGCCTCACGGTCCCTGTCTACATGGTAAGTGACCCACAGACCCAATCACCCACTCCTCACCAGCTAGCTGTCCCCAGCGCCCCCAGCCGCAACAACTGCTGTGCCCTTCCTGACTTTTCAGACACCCTGGCATGGGAATGGGAAAGAGAAAATCTCCCTCTGCCTGCTCCACTCACAGAGTCAGCCACAAAGAGCAACAGCCACTCCTGGGTGAGATGCAGAACCCCAAAGAAGCCCTCCATGAGGGACCCCCCACTCCACCACACTGACACAAGACAGCTTCATCCAGAGCTCAAGAAACATGGCCGGATGAACTCTAAATTTGCTGTACAAGCACATTTGGCTTAAACCTTCTAACACAGCTCAGGCAGTGAAGGGAGCCAACAGCACGAGTCCTGGCCCCCACCGGGCGCGTCCTGCATGTGGCTTCAGTGCTGTGATCTCAGAGGACCCTGAAGCTCCAGGAAGCTGGGCTGACCAAGGTCGCATGTGAGGAGAGTGGTGGCAAGCTCAGAGCACCGCAGATGCTGCTGCTTCCAGGGTCCCAGCCAGAGTTCTGAGTGACCACAAGCTCTTCTTGTCCGGACCCTGTCCCTCGTCTTTTTTACTAACTCTAAACATTACAAACCTCTGCAGGCTTTCCCAGCCCCTGCTCAGCTGCTTCTCCTTCTCTATGCTTTCTGGACCTCCGGTCACTCGTGAATACATCAGATATAAAGAGGACAAAGATCCTTGCCTTCATGAGTGCCACAAAGAGGACTGTGGGTGAGGGGAGAGTGCATGGTGGGGACAGAAAAGAACTTGAGGGAAAGCCAGAGAGGACGGGAAAGGCCAGGGCAGTAGCAGGTAGGTAGCTCTGAAAAGATGTGGCGATGGGGAAGCGATTGGCACAGGGGCATAGCGGTAAAATGGGTCGACCCGGTCATCCTGAGGCTGAGGGCTGCGGGTAGGTACACAGAGAGTGACTAGGGCCCAGTTCCAGTAACCCAGGCACAAGTGATGGCACTCTGACCCCAAGATGGCGGGAGACCATGAATGAGGTAAGAGGCAACTGATTCTAGAATTTTCCTTTTTATTTTTCTTCCATATAAACATTTGAAGTTCTATAAAGTTTCAGAATCTAGATGCTTTGGGAAGGTTATGCTGACAGCTTGGATGTGGGTGCAGGATTTAAGAAGTTGGCAGCCTGGTTTGTGGCCTAGAGGGGCCGAGATGGAGAAAGGACCGTCAGCTGCAAAGCAGGAGGCTGGTGGATGAGGAGCTTGAGATTGCTGAATTCTCTTCATCTATTGGGGATGTGTGGTCCACCCCAACTTGGTCTCCCTAACTTCTCCTCCTTTTGCAGCATTCCTTGAATAAGTCTTCCTGATCCTCCTGGACAGAGGCCATGGATCCAAGCTGACCAATTCCACCGTTTCCCAGCATGCTGTGCAATCGTGTTTGCTGTGTCACATCGCCCTCCATCCCACCTCACACCCCTTGGAATGTGATATACCTTTACCTCTCTAACCCTAGCACAGGCCCTGGCTTGGAGTTGATCCTTCAATATGATTCCCTTCCCCCTAAGCACAGTGAGATTTCCCAAGGAGCATCAAGGTCATCCATGGACAGGCCCAGATGACTCCTCAGAGTCACGGCATGCTACAACTAAAGCCCGTCCTTCCACTACCAGCCCTGGAGCAGGACTCTGGGAGCAGAAAGGACATCCTGGATCTCACACTGGAGCCCCAAGATCCACACTGAGCCTCACCCTGGCCCCTCTTTACCTCTACCACGGCTGCCATCCAGATACCTTCCCAGAACAGAGCTGGTCCTGGTGTGCTCAGGACCCTCCAGGTGGGGAGGTACAGTCAGTTCAGCCTGGTCACCCAGGTTCCATGCCCTGATCCTCCCTGGTGTTCACAGACCTCCAGCGTCCCTGCTTTCTAAACACAAGCAGGTGAAGGAAGGAGAGGGTAGACCAGGTTACCGTGCAACTGCAGGCTGAGCCAGGGAGAAGCCATGGGTCCTCGTCTCTGACCCCTCCTGCTTCCCTTTCTGTCTTCACGCCTGTTACCTTCTCAGTCCAGATTTGATGTCAGGATTCTAAAAACATCTATGACCCTCCGTATAGTCTCCCAAGGATTTTTATTTTATTATTTTGTCTTTCTGAGACAGGGTTTCACTATACAGTTCAGCCTGGCCTTGAACTCACTTTGTGGTCAGGCTGACCTCAAACCTGCATAGCTCCTCCTGCACCAGCCTCCTGAGTGATGGATCCCTAGGATTTTTAGACCTGGCTTCATGTGTGTTTTCTTGAAGTCTCTGAATCCCTGATGCCCAGCATCGTTGCTGGCACATAGCAAATGCTCAGTAAATGTGGGCTGGGTGAACCACTGACTGAATCCATGTGTCCTCCATCATTACAAAAGTCAGACCCTCCCTTCCATGCCTACCAGGGAAGCATTAGGGTCCATGTAACAACATTTCAATGGCCTCCAGGTCTGGGACAGTGCTGAGAATGCAGACATCTCAGTGATCTGAGACCAGTGACATCCATTAGTTTTTGGATATAAGGATCCACACCAAAACATCACAGTTTAAAACAGCAGCCTTTATGTAGCTCACAGTGCCCTGTGTCGGGGGGTTCATCTGGGTAGTCAGTTGCTTTTATCACTACTAGGCTTTCTCAGGTGTTTGTGGCCACCCATGAGTTGGCTTTGCTGGGCCTGGCTGAAGTCTCAGCTGAGACAACTGAGCCTGTGATGCTGGTCCAGGTGGGCTCTGCTTATCTGCAGGCCAGCCCAGGCTTTCTGCAGGCGGAGGCAGGTAGCCTAGAGGAATGCTCTGCACTTCCCACCCTGAGCCCTCTATCTGGGCCATCACTCCCACTGCATTCCACTGAACAGCGCAGGCCACACAGCCAGTTCAGACAGAAGGGGCGGGACAGGCATACAGAGCTTTCTAGTGCGCAGAGAGGCAAAAACAATCATGCCAGGTTTGCAACTTCCTGTTCCAGCTGTGACTGTAACATCAAAATCCACCCAGATCAGATCATGTGCTAGTCACTTTCTCATGGCTGGAACAAAATGCCTGACATCCACAACTGAAAAGGAAATGAGGTTTATTTAGCTCACGGTTTCTAGTGGGTTCCATCCAGGGTCGGTGGACACGCATGCGGAAGGGCACAGCGGAGGAGGGATACCCAGCGAGCCATTGTAGCCAGGAAGTGGAAGCAGACGCTCAGAAAGAGACCACCGCACTGTTCCACGTCACAACCCAGCGACCCAGCTGCAACCAGCCCCACCTCCCAGCAGCACGGTCAGCTACTGAACTCTGAGGCGCTCTGGGTCCTGAGACAGGAAATCAGCATCAATTTCTTGCCTACCTGTGGGTTTAGAGGGAGGATCTTGAGCAAATGAGAGCCAAACTCCAAGAATGTCTCTCAGGACCTCTCCTTTGTCCCCAGCCAGATTTATGTCATGGGTCTGTTTCCCAAGTCTGCCCCAATCCTGATCTGGGGTGGGAGTTGAAGGAGAGTTTGGGAGTGATCCAGGAGATTCTCCCATCCTAGAACCTTCCTGGAAGGGTGGTTGGGGGCATCTCTGTATCCTGTGGCTTTATTCTGTTGCTTCATAGCCCTCACTACTGTGCAGAAATATTCGTGATTTAGTAGATATGTATGTTCAGTCTCCCTCCGAAGAGCATGAGTGCTTCTCCGTTTCTGGGCCCCAGACCTCGGGTATGGAGAGAGGGGTGCAGCCGAGGTGGTGGCAGTGGTGAAGGGCATGCCAGGAGGTGGCTTCCTGGAACAGGGAGCAGCAGCAACGAGGACAGTGGCCTCCCTAGCACTGGTGCTTGTGTCCACTGCACTGCGGCCGGCTGAAGAAGAACTGCTTGAAGTTTTTCTCATAGGTGGGCAGGCTGTCTTTGAAGCAGTACACGGATCGCTTGTCACACTCACAGGCTTTCAGCCCGCAGAGGCAGCTGCTACTGGGACCCAGGGTGCATCCACCTGCAGAGACACACAGGGTCAACTGAGGTCCCCTTCTCATCCTAGGGCTCAGCTGTCACTGAACTGTGGGGACCAAGGGCTGAGGATGGCAAGGGAAGAAGCCAGGAGTCCTTTGCCTTCATCCTCAGACCCTTCCTCACTACATCCGGGCATCCAGCTGCTGCAGAGAAGCTGAGAAAGAAGCCAGAGGGGGTAGGCAGGGTACGCTGCATGGAGAGGCCAAATCACTGCACCTGGGCAGCACCCAGGCCAAGGGGTCAGAGCTTGTCTCATGTTTCCAGCTGCCTGCTCCCCATCCTGTGTAGATACCTGAGGAACCACGCCTCCAGCCCAGCCTGTCCTTCCTCCACACTCAGTAATGGCATGGACTCTGACAGGGGCCAGAAAACTAGGGGCCACCTCATTTCCTCCTCTCTTGTCACTGTCCACACTTGGCCCCGACTGCTGTTACGGATATTCACGCTCTGCTCTCTTTTCTCCATTGTCCTGACCACTACCCATATCCCATCATCACAGGCCCCTCCTCCTCTGTGGAAAGAAATAAGCAGGCACAGGCTTACGCTGTGCCTGAATGCGGCCTCGCCTGCTTACTGCCCCACCATGGTTTCCCACTGTTCGGGGAAGATGTCCCCAATCCTTGTAATGGCCCACAGAGCACACTTACTATGACTTGATCCTCCCCAGACACCCAGTCCCTGTGCAACCTCCACCCCATCCCCCACCTTCACCCTCCTCCAGGTGCACTGGCCAAATTTTAGGTTATATGTCTTGCTCTGTCTTGTCCCAGGGCTTTTCCCCATGTTATTTTCTTGTTCTCAGCCTCCTCCACAGGACCTCCCAGTGCTACTCTTTGGGTCTTGGTCAAATTCCACCTTGTTGGGGAGGCTGTCCCAACCTACCTGGTCCGAAGCTTCCCCCAACCCCAGCCATTCTCCCAGCATGCTCCTTGCTCATTGCCATGCACAAGGGTGGTGTAAGGCACACTTCCCCCTCTACCTAGCTCTACCCCAGGTCCACTCTCTTTGTACAGTTGAGAGGTGAAGGAGGCCCCCAGATCCCTTGGTTTGTCATTGCTGTCTCCACCTAGGCGGAGGTGGAAGCAGCAGAGTCCCACCTCCTCCCCTGGATGGTGGTGGGCTCCACAGGTGGCTGTTCCCAGCTGCTGAGTGCTCGGCAGAAGCCTGGCCCCGCTGGCACTGCGCCCTCCCCCGGTCCAGCACTGATTGCACCTGTTTATCTGCCATGCTCCCTCGCAGAGGCCCACACTCCTGCTGGAGCTGTCCTCCCACTCCTGTAAGGAAATGCAATTTCTTGGCGCCTCAGCTGCCCCTTGCTACTCGCCCTCAGGAATGTGCCAGGAACGTTTGCACTGCTGCTCCTCATCCTGACACCCGGGCCACCTTTGCCCTCCCACTCCCGCTTCTCCATGTGAGAATCCATCTGCATCCATGGAGCCCCAGCTCTGCAGGGACTTTGCTCCAGAGGGACAACCTGTCCCTCCCAGAGAAGTCCCCGGAGTAGGGGCCCATCCCCATGGTGGGGTGAAGGCTGCCAGAGACACTGAGGAGGGGCTAGGCTTGCTATTTAATAACTATGGGAACTAAGGAGCACAGGGTCTCCAGCACTACAACAGTCTCTTCCTCCGAGGACAGCATCCCCATGACCCAGTGACCTCCCCCACCTGCCCCTCCTCTTTAAGGTCCCACCCCTGCTTAACATTGTTACACTGGAGACCAAGCTGTCCATCTGCTCTTCCTCCTGCTTCACAAGCTTGGGAGATGGCACCACTATCACAGCTCAGGTCAAGAGCCCCAAGTCGGTCTCTTTGTCCTTCACATCTCAGGCCTTGGTAACTCTGCCACCAAAGCACACCCAGCATCTAACACTTCTCCGTGTCCTTTCTGTCATTGTCTTGGTTCAAGTTGTGCATTCTCCCCCTTAGTGCTAGAAACATAGCCTCCTCCCTAACTGGATGCTAATGGGACGTCTTCTTCCCTCCACACTCCCCACTGCTCTGCAGGGCAGCCAGAGTGATCTTTCTAGAGCACAGTTAGAGCAGCTCATGCCCCTTCCAGACACACGCCGATGGCTCTCCTGCCCTTGAAGGAGAAGATGAACATCTCATCCAGGTGGGTACTGCCAAGTGGCACCTCTGCTCCTTCCCAAGTATCCATGCTCCTGCCACGCTGACTCTGGGGCCTCAAGTCCTCCTCCATGACATTCTTCCTCAACTGCCTAAAATCAGCACCCTTCCCTACCCAGCCCTCGCCAGTTCGTAGCCTGTCGCCTTTTTTGGGGCAGCTTCAGAGCACTCATCCCTGTCTGAACCTGTCTCTTGCCTTCCCTTCAACACAGGCTCCTTCAAGTCAGAGGCTGAGTCTGTCTCATCACTGATCTCTGGACCCTAACACCACTTCATCCTTCTCCACCAGCTGCTGATGCCTTAATTGGGTGAGCTCCAGATCTAGCTCCAGATCTGTAGCTTCTGTCGTCCTCAAGCGAGTCACTCCTCTCTACCCGTTTCCTGAGCTTTCAATTAGAATAAAGATACCTGCACTCTCTGCTTCTGGATTCTTTTCTTTCACTCATTCATTAAACAAACAGGAACCAAGTTCCTAGCATGTGCTTGATTTGTCAAGACACAGGTAGGAGCAAGTACACTTCCTGATTGCACAGGTCCAAGGGCATCATTCTCCATGGGCTCTGTGAGTGTGAGTGTACCCCCAAACCAGACAGGCATGCCCCGTGCTCTTGGAGCTTACATTCTAAACTGGTGGGCAGTGGAAGGGTCAATGTATAAGTAAACAAAGAAGGAACAAAATTTCAGAGAAAGACAATGCTAGGAGGGGAAGAGAGTGCTGTGTCAGTGAGTGAAGCCTTGTGCGGAATCATCTGCAGCAGATGAGAAAGGTCTGTGCGAACTAAACTTTCAGCAGTTGCCACTGTCTTCCCCTATGGGCAGAGGGAGGCATCAGCGGCCTGGAGATGGAGGCGACACTGGTACAGGTTGCTGGAACTGGCCTCTGCCTCCCACAGCTTGCCTGTCCCCCGCATAACACATGCATGTATGTGTGGGCAGAAGGTGGGGGGTGTCACTGCTAGGTGATCTTAAAGTCCTTGCAAATGCCAAGTGCTTATGTAAGCCCCCTCAAAAGCAGGTTAACTACCTTGCAGGCTTCCAGAGGGCAGCTGTCCCTCCCCCAAGCCAATTGGCTCCTGGGTTCGGGCAAAGACCTTTCCCTGCACTCATCTTCCAGTGGCATTTAGAGACACAGACAGACCAAGTTGTTTCCTTCCTTCCCCTCCCTGTTCACCTACCACATCCCTCCCCACCAGCTGCCTGTTGCTAGGTAACCTGGGACCAGGCTTGGGTGCTGGATTTCAGAACTCAGAGAGGTGGTTAACCCTTACAGGGGCAGCACTTGAAACTGCGGTGTCGCCAGTGATATCAGAAGAGGTCTTCTCCCATAAGAGTCGCATTAATGACCTTAGCTCAAGGGGAGGTAAGCGTATAGCAGACTTCTCAGAAACCTCTGCACAGTGAAAAGAACATAAACCAAAACAAAAACCTAATGTTTTTCCATGAAAGAAAGAAGAAATAAAACCTTGGCAAAACAAGAACCCTCCCTGTCCAAATTGAAGGCCTTAGCGGAGCATCTGCTACCATTCAGCTCCTTTAACAGGTCACTGTGGTCAACCCTCCCAGAACTTGTGAGGTGCATGTGATTAACTCCATCTTACATGTGGGGAGCCTAAGGCTTGGCTGGGAGAGTCAAAGCTGGGAGCAGGCCCACCTCTGCCTGACACTGAGGCCTCTTAGCAGGAAAGGAAGGATCCGAGGCATTAGAGAAGACCAAACTCCATCTGCACCTCCTTCTCCTCCTTGGGCCGGGACAGAGCATTCTGACTGCAGGACCCTGGGACTTCCATCTGTGAGACAGCCTTGCCATCACACATGTGCCTGTCACCGTCCACATCACAGCATGGCGGAAGGCAAGGCCGCCTGGGTCTGAATTCCAACTCTTCTTTCCCTAGCTGTGTGACCTCTGAGCCTCAGTGCCCTCTTTGTTAATGGAGAGAGTCTCAGAGGTCTATCCAGGGCATTCAAGGTGCTGTATGCAAAGCATCTGTCACAGATGCACAGAAACTGCCGTGTTCTTGCCCCTGCTTCCTGGAGGAGAAAGCCAAGCTAGACACTTGGGCCAGGCAGGAAGTTCCAGGGCACTGGGAAGACTCAAGAGCCATGTGTCTTTCTCCTGCTTGTTACTTGGGTCAAACTCTTCCCATCTCTAGGTTGTAATGAAGGGCTGCTCTGGATAGTCTCCAAGGGTGCTTTCCACCTGGAGTTTCCCTAAGATCACGAAAGGCAGGAGAGAGGGGTTAGGCTGACCTTGCTTTGTGCCTGGCCCCCAGCACTAGGCTCCCACTGGACAGGCACCTAGTGAGCATTCAGTCAGCAATGAGCTGGTGAATGGGTGCAGCCTGCTGCAGAGCCCTGGTCACCTGGCTCTCAACAGAAAGGGATGCTGTCACCCTGGTGCTGTAGCAGAAGCCTCCTCCGAGAGGGTCCCAAGCAGGCTCGTGTGTGGGAAGCACAGGCCACACCACTCCCGGGCCCTGTCTATGCTTCTTAACACCATCCAGCACATGCAGGCCAAGGGCCATGTGTCACCTTCTGGGACTCCAGCTTGTACCCCAGTCACTTGTCTGCACTTTGTCCATTTCCTGGGGCCTTGAACTGGGAGCACGCAGTGCCCAGTTCAGCCCTCAGCACTCATGAGCAGCCAGTCTGCCAGAACCAGGGTGGAAACTTGGCTGCCCTCAGTAGAGAAAGGTTCTCTCTACCCACTCAGAGTTCACTTTGCTCTTCCCACTGATCCCTGCACTTTATGGGGAACATCTGAGGGAGCGGGACGCTCTTAAGCATCCTTCTCCAAAGTGAGGCCTTCTCAACCATAAGATGACACTTGATGTGACAGATGTTCAGACCAAGATGAAGAATGGCAAAAGGGAGCCATGAAAAAGCAAGACTGTGAGCCAGGTTGGAAAAGTTACCTTTGTTGTACACTTCTTCCTTGCCAGTCAATAGCCATGAGCCCAGTAACAGCACTCCCCCATTTGGGGTGGAGCATCAGAAGCTCGATTCTGACCTCAGGAGGCATCAGGCTAGTGCCGAAGCAAACAATACTGTGAGGGGCCTTCTCCAGCCTTTTTGGCCCCGCCCCACCCACCAGGTCCTGATGCCTTCCCTTCCCCTGGCTGTGACCTTGAGGATGTCACAGAAGTGTGATGATTAGGGATAGAGAACTGCAACTCAGGATTCTCATGGAGGCTCCCAGTCAAGAGTCATGGAGCAGGGGCTTTGCAGGGGAGTGGCCACCTGAGCTGAACCTGGTCTTCTACTGCAGGAGTCTGAGCCCTGAGTCCACCATGTTTCAGGATTTGCACCTGACACTGGGGAGACCCCACAACCCAGTCTCTAGGTCTTGGGGTATTCCGAGCTGGAATCCTGAGGGGGGACACCACTGGGGAGACCTAGGTCTGAGGACTAAGCATCCAACATGGGGGTGAGGGGAGATGTGTCTCCCCGCTGGGGGCTGAGTGAAGATGAGTAGGTAGTTCCCTGAGCTCCAAGGAAACAGATGAGCTTCGGAAACACTTGCCACTCTGAGTAGCATGCCTGTCAGGAAAGAGACTCCGCAACTCCACAAGGCCATGCAGATGGTGAGCTGCCCGCCAAACCATGTAGCTACACTGGAGTAGATGGATCTTATACAAGGCCATGACCCAGAGTCTTCAGGAGTGTTTTCTCTTTAGACCACACTTGCCCTGCACTGCACGTACCCCCACCAGTCCCAGGGCCTGCTCTGGGATCCCAGGGCTACTGCCCATGCGTAGACCTTTGGTATTCTTGCCCATGCCAGCTCTTTCTCTCCTCCTTGAGTGACCTCAATAACGTAGAAGCTCCCTTCCTGTTTCCCTCCTAGTTACTTCTGTGTCCCCCAAGATATTGATCACAATTTGTGTGCCATGAATTGTTAACAAATATTTATTCAGCTGAAGGACAGCTGGGCCATTTTGTTAGCACGTGACAAAAACAAGGAAGAATATTCTAAACAGCAACCATTGCCAGGGAAAGCTGCAAAGTCTGTGTGATCTCAAAGTAAGCATACTTTCTTGAGCAGGTACTATATACCAGGCTCTGGACTCCCAGAAGTGCTGGAGATACCCTTGTGAGTAAGAGAGACTAGGGCAAGACCAAGCCAGGACTTTCCAAGAAACCCTGGTTCCCAGATTTACCCTTTTCTCTCTCAAAACACTTGGGAAAGCCCTCTCTCCTAAAAGATTACTGGATCATGGAGAGATTAAGAAAGACCGAGATTCAAAGACATTTTGCTATAGCAAAAGCTACTCACAGACCACTGTTCCGTTGATGATGTGGAACTGGTAGCTGCTCAACAAGGGCTGGCAGCCAAGCTCCTTCAGTTTCTTGTAGCAGCAGTCATGGGCCCGGCAGCATCTGGAGCCAGAGGAGAGGGAGATGAGGCACTGGGTGCGGGGCAGGTGATTACTGACAGTGCTGTCCCTCTGCATCTAAGGGGAGTGGCTCCAAGACCCCCTGGATCTCAGCACCTTTGCTCAGGTCCCTGGTATTTGCACATAACTGCATACATCCTCCCCAATACTGCAAAGCATCTCTAGATTTACCACACCTAATGCAATGTAGATACTTGTTATAATGAACTCTCTGGGGAATCGTGCCAAGCAAACTAGAAGCCTGTACACGATCAATGCAGATGCCTTTATATTTCTTTTTAATATTTTTTATCTGAAGTTGGGGCCTGTGGGTATGGAAAACTGACTTATATTTAGACTAATAAAAATAACAAGTAACACTAACTGAGTCCCCTCCAGCATCTACTGCTTTCTGTACCATGCTGCCATCCTATAAAGTCAATCATTGTTTCAATTTTGTAAGAGGAGAAAGGAGATTCAGAGAGGTCAATTTCCCAAAATTACACAGCTGGAAAATGACAGATCCAGGTCTCAGGTCTAGGTCCCGGGGATTCATTCATCCACTGAAGCATTTTAACTGAGCACCTTCTACAGGTCAGGCACCGTGATGGTCTCTAAGGAGACAGCTGTCAGCAAACACAGATGCAAGCTTTGCTGTTGCAGCTGGCTGGATGCTGGGCAGCAGGGCATCCAAGGGGGGCAGACAAGTGCAGGGTAGTCTCAGCCTGTTTCCTTCAATGCTGAGCCATCAGCAGACATGCAGAAACACAGGATTGGATTCCAAGACCCAAAAACACCAAGAAAAAGGCCATGTGTCTTCTCCCTTCCTGATCTCACCTCCAGGCTGGCTCTTGGCCCTCTATCAGCTTGGCTAATAGTCCTAAATTTCAAATCCACCTTTGAATGCAGGTAAGAGAGGTACAGATCATCAAGCAAAGGCTGTGGAAGTTGAGATTCTCATTCAAAACCTGGCTTGCACCTTAGGAGCTGGATGCGTGGGCATGGCAGGTTTAGCGACTCTCAGCCTGGGATCCTCACTGTCCTCACTTGTAAAGTGGGGTGGTGACACTGCCTCCCATGTTCACTGGGAGGATGAAGCTTGGCCCCCATGATTGGCCCATGACGGGCATTTCATAAGTGTGGAGGCCTTGCCAGGGCTCTGGGGTCTTTCCAGCTGGAATATTCCAAGGTTCTTTGAATAAGCCCAAGGAATTCAAACTCTAGCAGTGATATTTTAGACCCCACAGGGACACTTATCCCTGCTAGGTCAAATGTAGAAAGAGCATTTTTCCTTCCTGTTTCTTCAAATGAAATGATATACAAGGTACCCCATTTCCTCCCCACATCCACTGTTTGTAGGCATTTATGCACCCCAACCCTGTTCTTAGGAATAAGCCTGGAAGCCAGGTTTGTGCCACATGCCCTCACCCAGATGGATGACTTCTCAAAACTGGGCCACTTGGATTCTTACTCCTGGAATGGGAAATCAGGGCTGTGAGCCAGCAGGGCAGGCTTGCCACACATGTAGTCCTAAAAATTGGGATGTTAAGAAAAAAGCACATTTGCTAGGTAAGTCTTAAAAGGTTTCTAGAACTCTGGGCAGGACTGAATCCATAATGTGCAGGGCCCAGAGCAAAAGAGAATGAAAGGCCCCTTATTAAGAATTCAAGAAAGTGACAGCAGAGCATAAACCCCGTGGAGGCCTGAGGAGTGTCAGCCTGGTGCAGCTTCAGAGGTCACACGTTCAAGAAGCTTGCCTGGCCCTGAGCTCCTCAGGACACACCCTGTGACTCCCATTCAGTCTATTTTCATGGTGGCTTCACACGGTTTCTGCTACTTGCCGCACAGAACCCTAATGCCCTCTCTCTGGCTTCAGGCACGGGCTTCAGTGCAAAGCAAACGCTGGGCAGTCTTGGCGTCTCTGCACCCACCTGTCAGTGTCATCCACAGGGACCCCTTTGCCCCCGAGCCCACAGTAGCAGCCATATCCATAATAGGAGAAGAAGGCGCTCCGCCCTGTGACATGCTTGACCATCCTCTGGAACTGCCAGAAGCTGCCGAGGGTGGGGGCCATCACTGCCAATGGAAAACAAAGAGTGACAGAGATTGTGGTGAGTCTGATATTACCTTGCCAACCCCTCCCCAGAGTGCCGTGCATGGAGGTCATCACCAGAGCCCTGAACATAGGTTGGGTTATCTATCAGCCTCTTCTGTGAAAAAGAAAAGGAGGCTAAATTTAATGGTAACACAGTGTCTGTTGCAAGCCCAGAGTGAGCACCCAGGTTCCCTGACACTTATGACAATGGTCTCCTGCCCACCAGCTTCCCCCTAGAAGCAGAAAACCACATCCTAGGCAGGAAGCCCCTCAGCTCTGATGCAGTGTGCATGGGGCAAGTTCAGGGCCAGACATGCCAGTCCCTGTGGGTATTACAGCCATACACGCCTCACAGAGAAACAAAATATATAAGAAGACAGACAGCATCAATCTAGTCTTTTATATGGCAAATTCACGTGGGCCCAACAATTTTTACTTCTACAAAATGCTTACAAAAGTGGCCACGGGTATATATAAAAGGATGTTTACTGCAGTGTTATTTGTGGTATCAGAACATTGGAAACCACCCCCAGGTCCACCGATTGAGAAACACTGGGAGGTGGGACTGAGGAGGGAGATAAAGAAACAGACAGCCTACTTGCTCTACTCCTATGCTGTTTTTCTAATGATAAGTGTGCATTACCTTCCCTATTACAAGGGTGTGTGTGCATGTGTGTGTGTGTGTGTGCACGCGCATGCGCTTGTGAAGGTACCAAATTCTTAAGAGCGGTTGCATTCGGACATAGAGGACTGTGCTCCGGGAAGGGTGGGGAAGGGCTGTGCCTACTCACTAAATTCTTATTTATTTGACTTTCTAATTACAAGTGTAATCCGGTTTTGCAATGGCAATACAGTAAGCACATGAACTAGAACAACTACAACGAGGACAGAGTTCAGGCACCTCGTGGTCTCACTGCTGTGTTCGATGTCTTGTCGAGAAGTGCGGCTGGAGGTCGGTGGGGGATCATGAGGAGGAAGGCGGGGCCACACTGTACCACAATTTTGAAAACTATAAATTCTACCACTCACTAAGGGAAAGACAGAAACCTGGTTTTCACGTGTTATTTAGGGAGCCAAAAGTTATTGCTACACAGCTGCAACAGACAGGGAAAAAATGGATCTGAAAAGAAAAGAAAAAATGGATTTGGACCAGTTCCTATTTGACTAAGGCAGCCACAACCGAGCTTTCTGAAACAACCCAAGCGGTCTCCCTGGAAAGCCCTTGCTCACTTTGCAAAGGTGTACGCCTGCTCCCTGCGTACAACGACTCGGAAGGACCAAGTGATCCCCACATCTTTCAAATAAAAATTAACTACTCTGATAACAGTTAATCCTCACAGATTCATGCCTGCAGTTTTGGGGGGTTTTGGGGAGCTTTTTGTGTGTGTGTGCCGGAGACTGAACTCACGACCTCGAGTTTGCCAAGCAGGCACTTATACCACTGAGCTAAACCCCCAGCTATGCCTGCAGCTTTGTACCAGAATCCACATGACGCTGGATAAAGGTAACCGGCTAGTATCCAAAGGGCAAATCCTCCTGGGACTGGGAATGGTAAGCCATACCTAAGGTCCTCTTCTTGGTACGTGGTTGGCAGCCTTCTATTTCCGAGAAATTCCTAGGATCTGAGAGCAGAGACCGAAGCAGGGGAACTCCGGTGGGAGCCTGTCCCACTCTTGTTCTCTCTCTGAGTTACATTCCTCCCTTGATGCCACCTCAGGAGGGGCCACCCCAATGACGCAGACAAGAAGACAACATCCTGGCACCCTCCCAGCTGACTTGCTACTTACAGCAGGAGACGAAGACAATGAGAATGGCAATGACCTTCATTTCAGAGGAGACTGGGGGGTCCTGGGCACCAGGGTTCTGCCTTTGTCTACAGCTGAACGTCTGTTTGAGGAGGAAGTGACCAAAATGGGACAAGGCCATTTGGACACAAAACACCCTCTATCACTCAGGCCTTTGGAAGCTTTCAGTGGAAGGTTCAGAGAGATCTTCTTCCAAGCTAATTATCTCTGAACATGATACCATTCCTGCTATTTAGACCTACTTAGAAAAAAGTAAGAAGGCCTCGATTGTTTGAAAAGTGCAAGTGTTGTACTTTTTTGGTAGTTTTTTTTTTAAGTTTCTTTGGCAACATTATCCCTTTGACTATTTTTTCCCCTTGGGAGGAGTGAGTAGTCCCTCTGTTCCCAAGTTTAAATGGGACACACACTGTTCCTAGTGGAACAAAAACCTGGTTCTCTTCACCTCACCACTTGGTGTTTCCCTTCTTCCCTACCCTGATATTTTAATCAAAAAATCACCCTCTCTGAGGCTCAGTTTCCTCTCCTGTAAAATGAGACTGAAAATCCCTATCAGTAATGTCAAACCTTTATTAAGAAACTTTAAGATATCATGGCCGTCACATTACACAATCCTCGTAACAATTTAAGTTTCTCTTATCACTTTGGAGAGGAGTAAAGGATGCTCAGAGAGGTTGAGCGAATTCCTCGCAGTCATGAAGCTGCCTGCTCCACAGACCTGTGGGGACCAGATGGAATCATGAAAATAAAATTGGTTTGCATTTTAAACCACAGGAACAGGTAAACACAGCACTGTCATTGCTACCAGCAGTGTGATGACTCCGAGGCACATTTCCCCAGGGACAGCGGAGGAGGAGAATGCAGGCTTCCGCCCCTGCTGTGGAGCTGCCACGTGATCAGTCCACAGCTTTCCCTCGCTCCAAGTGGTCTATGTGGGCCCATCATAAATCAGGCCAGATCTGATACCATCGGAACTCGGAACACGAACAAGAGCTCCATTGAAGCTGGAGAAGTTGGCATGTTTGAGCTGCAGCTAGGTTTTCATCCAGTGACAACAGCACCTAGGAAAACATCAGAGTGACCATCATGCCGCAGAGCCCTGGGAGAGTTCACCTGGTGCCTTTGCTATCTTGTCCCTCTTTGGCAAAATTCTGGTGAGCCAGGTCCCAGGCAACCTTCATGTCAATTTCAGTGTGGCTAATTAAGTTCTGTCTCTACAGGCTTGCTTCATTTTTCTCCTTTGAGTCTGAAAAAAAATCACCACGTGCAGGTTTGGTCTACAAAGAAGGATCTTACAGCTTTCAGACAAGCAGGTAATGACAAGAAAGGGGCCTGGGTGCATGGCTGATAATGAAATCTGACAGGCGTTTATTAAGCACCAACTGTGTGCTCTACTAATGAGAAGATTCCGGCCCAAGCAAGGCTGCCAAGCTGGCCTTGGATCCCAAACAGGCAAATATAGGCCAAAAGCCCTGGGGGGGCAGAAATTCTAGGCTTGCTTCTCCACTGCTGCTGGAAGGGTTCCCAGTCTCATGGAGGAGAGCATGCCCGGCACTCTCACTCAGTGGGAACTGTTCGCCACTGCAAGGAACCATGTGGCCAAGATTATGACCCTTCCTGGGGCGGAGTCAACTCTAGCCAGTGCCTGGCTAGGTGATGGTTTAAACTGAGCGGTCCCTTGCCTCTTTCAGAACATCTCTGAGAAGCCACATCACCCCTAGAACTCCCTGGAGGATTGGCCAAGACCTCAGCAACTTCTTCTATATGTCACTGTCTAGCTCGGTCAGCTTGTCCCTCTGTGTACCAGCTTCTCAAACCATGTCACAGGCTCCTTTTCCCCAGTCTTTCCCTGTTCAGCTCCCACTAACTTCCCCTGAGAGCCTCCCAGCAATGCACTTCTCTGGCTCAGAATTCGTTTCCAGGGAGCCAAATCAGCCCATGGAGAGTGACAAGCATCCTCTAGCAGTTGTATAAATAAATGGCTTTGAGCTCAGAAGCAGGAGCAATGCACTCTCCTGGGTGGGTCACAGAAAGCATCTTCAAAGATGTGAATTTTGAGGAGGCCTGAATTCCCTTAAATTTGTTTTTTGCTCCCAATTCCTCTTTACCTCAAACCTACTGCCACTACCCTGCTTGACATATGAGGAAACCAAGACTCAGAGAGGAAAAATGACCTGAAAAAAAAAAAAAAAAAAAACTCCACCCAGTTACTGATTGGCAGCACCAGGACCTCCCTCTGGTCTCTGACTCCAAATTCAGGGCTTCCTCTCCCTCACAGGGTCCCCATCTATACTGCTCATCCACATGGGCTTCCGAAGGTCTCAGGGCATTTTCACACACTGACCTGCATGGCTACACCTCTGCCACAACTAATTTGGTTTTCTTCCTTTGACTTGGGGCTCTTAGGCTCATGCCAAAACAAAACTAAGAGCTCTGGGCCGGAAGGCCAGAGACTCAACAAGGGTATAGGCTCTCACATCCACTCCTGGAGGAACAGTCAGCAAATGGAGGGCCTGAGTTCTCTCTGGGTTGTTTCCAGACATATCAACTCACTAGCTTTTCTCCCCATGAAGAAAGTAAAGCAGAAAAAACATGTAAGCTCCATGAGGACACAGATCATGTCTGTTTTATCCACCTCTTTATCCTTAGTGCCCACCTGGCACAGATAAGCACTAGTGATGATGACAGACAGCATATGAATTGCATTAACCCTGTGTACTTTCTGAACACTTTACATATATTGCACTTACTAAATCCTCACACCCTCAGCCAGATAAGTATTGTTTATTATCCTCATAGTACAGATAAGGAGACTAGGCATGGAGGACATAACTACTTGGAAATTGAATAAATCTATGAATGAACAGTCTTATACTTCAAATCATAGATATAAAAGCAATACCTACCATCTGTTGAGTACCAACAAGGGGCTGGGCACTGCCTGTGGATTATTTCCCTTAATCCTCCTGATGAGGCATGGATTATCAATCCTGGTTTACTGATGAGGGAAATTGCATCCAGAAGAGGTTAAGTAATTTTTCCTGGAAGCTGATAGGTCCCTAAGTGTGCCTGGTGCCAAGGCTGGTGCTCCTCGTTACCTGGCTATTCTCTTGCTTAGGTGGATCATCAGACCAAGAGCTGTGCCAATCCAAAACACAGCTGGGAAGACAAAATCCAAAATAACCCAGCTCAGTAGATACACAACATTCTTACTTTACACATAGTTCCAACAAGCTCCTCAGCCCAGCAGTTGAGCAGCTGTGGAGTTAAGAGTGGCTTTTCTTGGTAGGAAAGCAGGAGGAATGATTAAACCAATAACCATCAAAGCCAAGGAAGCTGGGGCTACTGAATGTAAAGGCAGATGGCTTGATGCACATCGACAATACTGCAGCTAGAGCACAATTATTGGCTTTGAGTTCCAAGAAAGGTCAACCTGAGGAAGAGACAGGACAATCAAGGGTAATTAATGGATTCTATGTTAAAGAAGATTCGATGTCAGATCTATGTCAAAGATTTGATGTTGAAGAGGGGAGTTGAAGCTGTTCCACCATTTCCTGTCTGAACAATGTAAGCTCTCAAACCCCAGGTCCCCCTAGATCTGTGATGGAAACACCAATCCTGCCCACCCCACCAGAGGACCAGCAAGCTTCAGAAAGCTTCTGAAGGGGAAACCACTTGGTCAACACAGACAAGATGAGTCACAGTGTTTGCTACGCTCTTCTTCTTAACAAGACTGCAAAATAGGCAACACATGTTTGGATATTTTCCAACATTGTGGGATAAATAATAAAATGGTTCAGTATCTCAATAAATTCATTAGCCAGAAACTTGCTTCTCGCAGGTCCCTCAAGATGCTGAATCACCAGGAGACCTGACTAACTGCACCAGCCTCAGCCTCATTTCTAATTACCCACCTTGTTTGCCTTCTACTTAAAGGTTACCAGTGATCTCAGTCCAGAAGTCTAATTGGATCAAGGACCAGCAGAGAAAGACATGAAGTATAGTGTACAGAAATGCTGAAATCTAGATGCTGCTAGTTCAAAGCTGGGTCAAATGCTCTTTGGAGACAAATTGCTAAGAAATTAGACTTCCTGCCTTCAGCCAACATTGAGAGAGGTCTGAAGGAGTTCATTTAGACCCCAAGCCAGTTATTTTGGGTGAGTGCTAACTGGATCACTCTGAAAAGCTAGCTGTGAATCAGCACACTGTCATCATTAACTCAGTTCTCATTTACTGAGCATGCACCACAAAGCAAGCATGTGTGACTAAAGCAGGGGAGTCAGAGACAGGCAAGTTCCTGCCCTTGCAGAGCTCAGAGGCTACCGAAGGAGAGCTCCACATAACATGAAAAGAACATAAAGTCTGCCAACCCTCACCATGCACCTCCATGCAGTAGGCACTGTACAAAGAACCTTATGTGTGTTATCTCATTTCATTCTCACAACAATGATATCCTTTACATTTCTGTTTTATAGATATGGACACTGAGGTCCAGAGATGATAAGGCAGCTTCCCAGGTCCTCAGCTGGCAATTGATGGATCCAGGATTGCAATTCCATCTTTGACTCCAGAGGCCATGGCTGCAACTCTATGACCAGCTCAATAGGTGATTCAAGAAAATGTCACATTTGGGGACACAAAGGTGAGGGTGGGGCTCTGGATAGAAGGTGGAACCAGCTTTGGAACCAGCCAAAGTTTGGATGTGAGTTCCAGAACTGCTCTGCTGCTGGTCAGCTGGATGTTCTGAGAACAGCTGTTTTTTAAGGTTGAAGGAGCCAATGGTGCTTCCAAGGCAGAGAGTCACACACACCAAAGGAACTGTCCTAGTGAGGATGAATGGGATCATCTTGGGCTTGTCCCACTGGACTAGATGGAAACTAGACAGAGCACATGACATTGGGTGGCTAGGAAAAGCCTTTGTGGAAGACTCAGCTTTTAAGAAGGGATCTGAAGGATTTGATGGTTTGGATTCATTTAAAGGATGGGAGCAAGGTGGAGCAGGCAGAGCCAGACAACGGAGAGGAAGAAACTGAAGGCTACATGCAAAATGTGGTGACTGTAGCCCAGGAGAGAGCTGATGAACATAGTGGCGTAAGACTGGAAAGGAAAAAATGTCCACATTTAAGCCTGCAGGGCAGAAATCTCTGTCTGTGTTTACTGAGAATCTATTTTGTGTACATGCCAGAGACTGCGCATTACAATGCTTTTTTTCCCCTCTGGCCCTGGGGATGGAACTCAGGACTTCACATACGCTAAGCAAGTGCTCTACCACTAAGCTATACCACCAACCACCAGGACACCCTCTTTAAAGAAGGTCAGGAGATAGCAAAGACACAGCAATGGACTGACTGGCTTCCTTTTTCTTTTTCTTTTTTCTTTCTTTCTTTCTTTTTACCTCCAGCCTCTCCCTGGGGCTACATATTTCATGACCCTGAGGACCAAAAGACATGTACTGCTCAACACGATGGTTAGGCCACAGGCCACTTTACTGCTCCAGCGAGGACACACTCATGCATGCACGCACAGGGGGTGAGAAGACAACTCAGTTCGCCAAAGGATTGCATAATTCTTAGGTGATGTTAAAATAGCTGATGAAGAATCTACTTTAATCTTTTCTGAGTGGGCGCTGAAGGGCTGAAGAGCATCACTTAGATATTTCTGACAGAATCATTAACAAAAAATAAGCCACCAGCTCTGAGCTGCAAAACCATCAACTCCTAAAACAGTATCTCCTGCATTTTCCACAATGCCTCCTGAATTTGGAGGGATGCAGGGGGCATCCTTAACAGGAAGCTGGCCCAGCCCAAGCTCTCACCAGCAGCTCTCATGGTTGGCAGCATCCTCTCCAAAGTGGTCAAAAACATACCCACTGGAATGATCGCCTTTCTCTTGGTCTCAGAACAAATTGATGGCTGTGCCCATCACTTCCCATATAGTCACATCCTGCCTGCTCTTCTACCCTTGACTCAAACTGCATTAAAAAGAATCTGATTCAGAACTGCATCAGTGCACAAACGTGCTTTCTCAACCAAACTGGTGGAGGTCTTGAAGAGGCTAGAGTCATACTCAAAATCCTACATGCCCAAGACAGACCAAACAGCAATTATTTAGCCACGAGGCTAGATAATGAATCTATGGGTCTTGGGTGTCTAATAATGTAGCTTCTGATGATACAGTCTCTAAATTATTGCAGGTGATCTAGAGCCTGGCAGACAGCAATCCAGTTGGGAGTCCTAGAGTCATTTTAATTCCAACTTGGAATTAAAGCTGGGACATAAAGGATGAATGAGAATTAGGCAGATGAAAGAGGGAAGGGACTAAAGAGGATGGGGAAGAGTCTTCTAGGCCAATGGGACAGCAAGAGCAATTAGGCCTGTAGTCTAATGAGAATGCAACTTTCAAGTGTGACCACGAGGCAGGGAATGGGCTTTTGACCACCATGGTGATACACATAACTTTGGATGGAGTCGGAGGACAGCCCCTTTCCACTCCAGCCGAGAAGAAAGAAAACAAGGAAGAAGAGCAGGCAGGTTGTAGGTCTGATGGTAGACAGCTGAGAAAGTTTTCACATGGTGGCTGCTATTTTTTCTTTGCAGAGGGCAGCAAGATTGTCTTCCAAAAGAGAAGTAGGAGAGGGAAAGGTGGGGGATTTCAGGAGGGAGAACGAGGTTTGAAATAGGCCTTGAGAAGAAAGGAGAAAGAACTGAGCAGGGAAAGTGGAAGGCTTGCTGAGCAGGGTCAAGAGGCCAACGGAGGCTGGGAATGATGTTTTCCACTGTCCAAGCTTGTGGCTGCCAAGATTTCTTCACTACTTGGACACAGTAGATTTGAGTTGAGGATTCATCCCATGAAAGGGATAGAAAGACAGCAGGCAGGACAAGGACATGGAGGATTCCTCCCAAGAGAATGGCTGAGGCAGTGGACTATGGAGAAGGGTAGAGAGAAAGCCTGAAGTGCAATAGAACAGAGGTCTTGAAGATGAAAAACAAGTGTATTAGTGCTAGTTGTACAAGGGTTAGAGGCTGGGCTTGCCCCTCGCAGAAAGTGCCCTTCATCACTAAGTTTAGGATGCTGCTGAGTGTGCATCTGATGCGGCAGTGAGGTCAAGGAACTAATCCAGGAAGGGCCATGATGAGAACAGGCAAGTGGACACATGGTCCTGCTCCACAACTCTCAACAGACAGCCTAGCAGCAACCACTCAGATTCCAGAGTCTATGGAATCAATCAACCCCACAGTCTCGTGTTACAGGAGGGCACGGAGAAAGTCAAGTCTGATCCATGATCACACCTTGGTTTGGGGCTGGCAATGACTGGCCGCTGCTCCTGCACCATCAACCAGCCCAAGCCAGACCTCTCCTTCCCCTGGATGTATGCTCCCCAGAAGATGAGATACAGAGGCTGGCAGGCAGGTGAGGAAGAGGCCAGGAGAAATAGCCAGGATTCCTATTGCCTCCAAGACACTAAAGCCTGCCAGCCTGCTCCCCCACCGCACCCCTCTCAGGTTCCGGTCAAACCGGAAGCACTTGGCCCCTGCCCCAAGCGGTTGTCATGGAGACGTGGCTGTTTACCAGCTGCACCAAGCCTGGGGCGCCCGCAGCGGCGGATGGAGCAGAGCTGCGAGGTGAGCGCGCCGGCTACCCAACCCTGACCTGCCCACGGTCCCCGCTGACCTCAGAGAGACCAGAACAAGCCAGTCCCAGGGAGCCTGGCATCTCGCCCGTGTGGCTTTCCCAGTCCTGGCCTCAGGGACAAACCTCAGGAGACTGGAGCTGGGCCTCTGAGAAATAACTTCCCCAGGCACAAAGCTTGCCCTGCCAGAGAATCACCTTTGCTGAAACAGAAGTCCCAGGCTTTTGCAGCTGCTGAGGGGCCAAAACAAAACCACTGGCCATGACCTCTTGGTGGGCTATGCACAGCCAGCCTCTGGACAGGAACCCAGGGGGAAGAACTGCAGATCCAGGCACAGGGAGAACCAGAGGGAGCCCTCCCCACCCTGTGCTTTTGTTAAATTCATTGCAACTTTCTAGTTGATCTTTCTGCTTGTCCCTCAAATGCCTCCTTCTGCACCTTAAGCTTATGTGCTTGCAGGGCTGCCTGAACTTGAACATAATTAAGTTACCCCACCACCTCCCCACCCTTTTGCCACTGGAATCATCCCCAGTTCACTTTCCCATTCTTTGATCCCTTGGTGGCTTTTAGTTCAGTGTGGCACTCTGCATAGGACAGCGCATTGTGATCATTAGTCTGAAGGGGAACTGGGAATGGTACCAAAGTTCTCTCATCCTCCACCCAACGACCAAATCCTGTTGGTTCTTCTAAGCATTTTCATCCTGAAAGCCTGGTTGGGTGGGGGTGGGGGGGTGGCAGGAGGTGGCATTAACTGATAAACAGTTTTAAAAGACCAATTCGTATGTATGCATCTTGGTACATACTAGCAGATGGTATGTAGGTGGTTATATTTTATTGCTTTCACTGTAAGTTTAGATTTGGGTTGTAAAATAGGATAGTGGGACCCTGTGGTGGATTGTGGATAGCCTTGGAAAACAGAAAAATCTGTAGCTTTTTTTTCATCAAATTTTCCTTCCTTCCAGTTGATTTGGTGATTAATCTTAAGGAGTGGGCACTTGCCCTTCTGGCAACTTCTTGGAAACCCTTCTCAGTGTTTGTTTCCTGCCTCCTAGGAGGCCTCTGCAAGGCAGCTAGGGTGTTTAAGTAAACAGGCCACTTGGCTATTCGGCTGGCAGCTTGATGGATGCTCACGCCTAGATCTGTCAAATCACTTTCTGGTTGAGCGTCTGCCAGGCCTAGGGGTGGCGAAATGAGGGAAACAGAAGCCCGTCTGGACCTAGAGTTTGGGACCCAAGGTGTGAATATAAAGGCATATTTGGCCCAGGTTCCCAAACACCTGTTTCCTCCACCTCCCCTGCCCTTGCACTGGATGCTAGCAGAGCTGGTGTTCTCTCAGAGTAGCAGATGGTCCCTGCACTCGTTAGGAGGCAGTGGGTTCTGAAAGCAGGTTGGATGTAATGGTTTTACCTGAAGGAGGTGTTAGTCTCTAAATAACCGTGAGTGGGCTTATGGGGATTAGTCACCATCGCGGTTTTTCTCTGCGATAGCTCGCAGTCATGTTATCTTATGACCAGAGTGTCTTGAATATGACACCCCCTGAACATGGCTAATTATATAGTACCAAAAGGTATAGCAAGTGCATGCACATACTCAAGTTTTACTGTTAAAAATAATCCAGCAGAGCCTGTGAGAACATATGACTTTGCTCATCAAAGTTGTTAAGGAAGAGGTTTCTAAGTTACCAAACTTACTGACAGTTAAGCCTTCCCGAGGCGTGTGTGGGTGGTGGAAGCCAAGCCTGTGATAATTCTGGAGAAACTGTGGCAAATTAATAGCCATTCCCCAGTGGGAGGGTGGGCAGAGGAGAGTCGGGCTCATCTTTGGCACAGCAGTGGGACAGTAATGCCTCTGATGCCGTGCTCGGTACAGTCGCAGAGCTGCTTCATTACAAGTGAAGACTTTAGAACCGAACTCAGAGGGGAAAGTCTTCACAGTTGATCAGGAAATTAATGAAATTAGCAAGGAAATGGGCAGGTAATTCTGATGCCAAAAGTCTGCTAAGGAGAAGGTTCCTGAATACCAACAGCCAGACTGGGTGTGAAAAATGAGCTAGAAGTGGAAAATGAGAGAAGAGAAAGACTCCAGCTGTGAGTGGAACAGAGCAAACACAGAGGCCTGTAGATTAAGGAGGGGATAACTTTGTCCATGATTTTGAACAGAGCAGAACATTGTGAATATATAGAGATACTGCATTTTGGTGGTCGGAAAGAGGGTGCTCCCTACAATGAGGCTGCGCTGAGAATGTGCAGCTTAGAACTGTCAGAATGGCAAACTTAGAACCTAAAATCAAAGGGGTTTGAAATGACACTGTTGTAGCCGGGGATTTAACTCAGCGGCATAAGCGCCTGCCTTGCAAGCACGCAGTCGTGAGTTCGATCCTGGGTACCAAAAATAAAAAGATGAAAAGACACTGTGCAGGATTGGGTGAAGAAGGGAACTTGCAAGCAGTGAATTTGAGGTAAATAAAAGTGTAGAATTACAAGAGAAGAAATTGATTCAGGAGTGTGTCCCATTTTTGAGGTAGCTGCATATATGGTAGCTCACCCAAAGCAACCTCCTGTCATTTCTAGATAGTGGACAGGGCAGGCATAGGTCCTAGTTAGTACTGCCTGGGAGGAAGACCACCAAGGACCCCTGGGGTAAAGCTTGAAAGCAGCAGCTAAGAGACTGGACCTAGGATAGTAGAATAGACACACAACCAGAACCAAAAAAAAGCCCTCAACATTTAGTTAAGCCTTTATTATGTACTGAGTCTGGTATTTCCTATTTGAAGACATTGTTTCCTGTTCTTATCTTTGTATTATAGACAAAGAGACTGAAATTTAGAGGTATTTTAGGTATTTCCAAGGTTGTATAGCTAATACAATAAATGGGGAAAGCTACATCACAGAAACGTAGCATGGTGGGCTTATAAGCCTGAAATAGAATTCAGGTCCTGTGACTCCTGCTGTTAGAAACAAGGAGGTACTAGGAAATTATCAGACTGAGAGGGATGTGGTCAGCCTGTGAGCAGAGAAAGCAGTAATTACCATAGTGATCTGGATTCAGAAGGAAACGGGGTTCAACAAGATGTTTGTCGTGTTCTGGGAAAGATGTTATTGTGGACTTGGCGGAGGAAGTGGTGGTGATGGTGTTAGTGAAATGGTTAGAAGATGGCAATGAAAGAAGCGGTCACATGATTTGGGAGTCCGGGATCTGCCCAGAGACGCCCTCTACCAGGTCTCAGTGTGTTGCTTCTATTTGGATTTAACTGATGCTCGTGAGCACCCACCATGTGGGAGAACTAAAGCAGAGGTCCTTCATGTGGAAGACAGAAAAGTAACCAGAAATCAAAAGATAGAATGTGATGTACTGGGAGACAACCAGGACTGGTCTTTAAGAAGCAGCTCCCTTGAGTGCAAAGACACAGGACTAAGCGTCACAAGAGCTGATGCTCTCTCAGACTCTATCACCAGCTAGCTTTGTGACCACTGAGCAACCACTCTGTCTTCCACTTTGTGCAGCTGTAGCATTAACATCTGCTCAGATTCTTCTTAGAGTTGCTAATTTAGGATGAAATTTGACGAATTATGGCCCATGGGCCAAAATTGGCCGGTCAGTTGTTACTGTGTGGCTCATGAGCTAAGAATGGCTTTTACATTTATAAACTGTTGGGAGGGGGCTGTTTTGTAACATATGAAAATTGTTTGAAATTCAAATTTCAGAGTTCCTATCTGAAGTTTTATTGGACCCAGCCATACATGTTCAGTTACATACTGTCTGTGACCATGCTGTGAAGTCAGAACGGAGTATTAGGACAGACTGTGTGGTGTGTAAAGCCCCAAATAGTCACTCTGTGGCTCTTACAGAAAGAAATTGGTGAGCCCTTGTTTAGAATCCCAGTGCCTTCCCTTGTGAGCTCTGGCAGATGCTGGAGCAGCACTGGAGTCTTCCTGTCCCTGGCCTCCCAACCCCCAGTGACCAAGTTAGCGGGGATATTATGTTCGGCGATTCTGCAGACCACCAGGCAAGGCTGAATAATGAGACCAGGAAGGCAAGTGAAGTCAGGGCAAGCTCTGGGAGCACAGGGTAAGCGGCAACAGGGAGACCCGAGATGCAAGGGGAAAATAGGAATCGCAAAGGGTGGCTCTTCTGTTTGAATAATGGTGCCAGGGGAGGCTGCTTGTTCCTTCTTTAAGGGAGCTCTCCAAAGTGGGGTAGATAACTGCTCTACAGTGGAGCTGAGCCTGGTTTTCCTGCTGAGCATCTTAACAGCATGCCACTATGCTTCCACATCCATGGATGGTATAAAAACCACCTCCAAGGGAGGGATCTTCAGTCTGGGAGCCAGAAAATCCCTAAGCATACCAAACTCTCCTTGCTCCAGGATTTCATCCGTGTCTTCCCACTCCCCAGATACTTTTCTAGATCAAGGCTGGGCAAACTGTGATCCCAGGGCCCAATGTGTCCTACCCCTTGTTTCTGGAAATGAAGTTGTCCTGGACACAGTCACAGCCCCTGTACCAAATGCATTGCCCATGTTAGTTTTGTGCTGTAGTGGAGGCTTTGAGTAATTGTAACAGAGACAATGTGGCTCCTAAAGTTGATAATATTTATGGAAAATGTTAGCTAACTCCTGCTTTAGATTGTCACATGGCATGTTCCTTCTTATCAGTGGGGTCTCTCAATTTAAAGTCTCCTCCTCATAAGATTATTCTTATGAATTAGTTTCCCACCTTAGCTACTCTAATACAATACTTCGTTTTATTTGCAGCATTTCTCTTTGAAATATCTATTTACTTTTAAAGCTAACCCCAGTCTTCCCTCATTACAAAATTTAAACTGCAAGGACTTTGATTTGCTGACACAGTCTTAAGTCCCTGCAACGAATGAACCAGTGCAGAAATGAATTAAAGCTGGTGTCCCTCCTTAGATGCCAGAAACCCAGAGAGAAGGACCCAGGCTCTGGCCCATTTGTGTTTATGCTTGGCACTTGGAGAGTGGGTGCATGGACTCAGCTGTCCAGGACATGTGTTTAACCCATGGCCTTACCTGTTTTCTCTGGCTTCCTTAGGGGTCCTGAGAAGCAATGGCCACAGAAGCCCCTGTGAACTTAGCACCACCTGAACGCAGCACTGTTGCTGGCCCAGCAGCTGACAGCTTCCTTTGGCAGCCAGACTCGCTAAAAATGCATGTCATCAGGCCCAAGTCCGCCAAGGGCCGGACAAGGCCACGTCTCCACAAACCGCAGGGCACCGAGGAGTGCACTCGCCGAACCCTTCCCTCTCCACCTCCAGCCAATCCCAGTGAGCCACCAAGCAGCCAGAAGCGAGGAGCTTGTGTACCCACGTCGCCAGCTCAGGGAGCCCCTGGCGAGGTCCCTGAACTGCTGCACCAAGTGCCCATGGGGGCTTCCTCTTCTCTCAATAAGTACCCAGTCCTTCCTTCCATCAGCAGAAGGAGACTAGGGGAGGGAGCTGTGGATGCAGTAGCTAAAAAGTCCAGCTCGCCACAGCCGAGCAGCATCGAGGCACACTACCAAGAGGGGCCCCGCTCCCTGAAAACAAGCAAAGAAGATTCCAGAGCTCAAACTCAAGTCTGTGCTCTGGAGAGGAAATTCATCCTCCGCACCAAGAGGCAGAGCACCTCCAGGGCTGGAAACCTGGAGGAACCATCAGACCAAGAACCAAGGCTACTGCTTGCTGTCAGGTCACCATCAGGCCAAAGGTTTGTCCGCCATTTCCGGCCAACTGACGACCTGCAGACAGTTGTTGCTGTGGCTGAGCAGAAGAACAAAGCCACCTATGGACACTGCAGCGTTGAAACAATGGAGGTGCCCAGGAGACGGTTCTCTGATCTCACCAAGTCTCTGCAGGAGTGCGGGATCCCTCACATGTCAGTGTTGGGCATCTCACAGGACAAGGAAGAGGGGTGGCCCTGAGTCCACAGCACCCAGTAGGAGTCCTGGGTCTCTGAGCAAGGAGCATGCTTGGGTGCTGAGGCCTCCCAGGCAGCTTGATTCCAGGTGCCATGTGAGCCCAGGACAGCTGTGACCCTTGGCCTTGACTCCACAGAGTACCCTCCGAGGCCATGACACCTGCGCATGTCCTGAGCGCACTGGGAAGACTCCCAGCCATTACATTCAGTTCACCCCCAGGGCCACAGTGGGGACCAAGGCTCTTCCTGAAACAGCTGTGGCCAGGCCTTCTTCCTCCCACAGTGTTGGGACCCTCCTAGACAAGAGGTCCTTTCTGGAGCATCTGCTGTCCTTCGGATGAACTCTGATTCTTGAAGCCAATGGTTTGCATTTCTGTATTTGACCAGGATTAAACACTTCCAAGAGAGGATTCTAGTCTGGTAAATAATCAGGGTTTAGGGAGTACCTAACTGGCATTTGTATTTTTCACAAGTAGCTTTAAGAAACAGACTGTTAACCTTATCTTCAGAAGCAGCCTCTCTGCTGGGCTGGGGAGGATGATCACAGTCTCTTGGGGATTCCTGTCTGAATGAGGTGATGTCAGTGGGAAGAATGATTCTTCCACTAATGCAAAACCCCCAACGTTTTTCTGAAACAGTCCTGGAACTGAAAGGTAGGTTGCTCATATGGCTGTGGATAAGTTTTCGTAGACACAGATCAGGTTCGTAGCTTTGGGCAGCTCTTCTCTGTGAGCAGAATTGTTCAAAATTGAGACACGCCGGTGTGATCTGATTTCCTTTACTTTTGACTGTAAAGAAATCCTTTGTTTTCAAAATATGCAAACCAACAAGTCTGTACTCAGGACCCTGTGGCCTATCTGGGTGCAGGTAAATTATTTTACTCTCCTATTTTGGTGACTGGCCCACTTCAGACATAGATTCTTTCCATAGTGACAGTGCAGCACCCTGTGGTCTAATTTTAAAGACTCTGCACTCTCCAGGCTCTTTTGCTGTCCTGTGTGAGACCATGGCCATGCAGCTACTCACTGGCGTGGAATGCATCTGGCCACCTTGTCCTTAGCTCCCCTAAAGACTGTGGAGTCTTATTTTCCCAACTCTGAAGTAGAAATGTAGAAAATTTGCCAAAGTTCTCCAGTAACTCATCTGGATTCCTCTGTGGCCAAACCACCCTTCAGAGTAGGCGACCCTCAGACCTTTTGGGCACCTCATCCTCCCTGCCCCAGTACACAGCCATTGCAAAGCCCTGGGCACTGGTCCATGCCCCTACCTCCTAGGTAGGCAGAGAAGGGAGCAATCAGGAGTTCTAGGAGCATGTAAATGTTGCCACCATAGCAACATTCTTATGTATGCATCTTGTGCTTATGTAAGACCAATGCTTAGAAATGGTCTCAAACACTGATGATGCCTTGGTGATGACATTTACCACTGCATGCTTTGCTCTGGAAAAGGGTCACCTGTCTCCACTACACCCCACATCAGCCAGATCACTCTAGAATAGATGATTTCTGAATGTTGGCAGAATATCTTTAATACATCCTGGCTTGGTGAGACACCGCTTTGATTGGAAAGATAAGCCGGAGGTGCAAGGCTGGCACTGCCTCAGGTAGACCCAGGCAGCTGGCATCCTCTTCCAACCCCTAACCATGCAGAAGGGACCAGTGGCTTGAGCTTGAAATCTACAATAAAGGAACTTCACCTCCCACTGGGACAGCAGCGCGTATCTCTGCATCTGCCCTGGGAGGCTGGAGGAAGGACCACCCATAAAATCACACCCACCTATGACTTGGTGATTTCTCCAGCTGGGAAAGCTCTAGAAAACTCGGGTGAAATGGATGCTGTTTGAAGGAGTCAGAGTTTTCTACTCTCAGGGCTTTCCTGCTGCTATGGAGCTTAGAATTGCGGGGTGGTAAAAACATGGGAGGCCTGAAGCAGAAACACTTTAGGATATTCTAGGATATGCAAATAAGGCTAGATTTGAACCATCGTAATAAACAGTGTTTGGACAAAAGATGATGATTCTAACAATAAAAAACTGATTTGTGTGAAGTGATTTGTGCAGAGGCGTATCTTATACTTTAGCTTGAGATTTTGGCCACCACACACTGGGTGGACAGAGGGATTTGTTGACCTAGTATTCAGTTTTTTCCTTGCGAAAGTATTCTATAATTAGAATCAAGTCCTCCTACACACACACACACACACACACACACACACACACACACTGCAGATATCAACACAGAGCTCCCATGACTCCTGCTTCCAGCTCCTGCCTTAGCACCAAGCTTCCCCTAAATGTCATTCAAACTGCTCTTGCTTTTAAGGGTTGAAAAGAACTCTACCGGGATCTAGAGTTCTTTTTGGCTCTGAATGTGGCATTACCAACTGGGCATCCTGGGCTAACGGGCTCAATGGAGTCAACACACGAAAGCTGGTGGCCCTAGGCTGACCAGCCTTACCTGCTTTGTGGTCACAGACCTCAGTCATACATTTAGCCAACAGTCCCTGAGGGCCTGCCCTGCGCCACACTTGATCACAGGCATAGGTGCCCTAGTAAGAAAGTGTTGGCGAGAGAATGTGGAATCCAGGGGCTATAAGGGCGTGCATGTATCTTGGTTACTTTTTTTCTCATTGCTGAGACAAAATATCTTACACCCAAAGTGAAGGAAGGAAAGGCTTATTTAAGCTGGCAGTTTTTGGAAGGTGCAATCCATAATCAGCTGGCTGCAAGGTAGGATGGCATGGCACTGGGGCAACACTTCAAGGCAGCAGCCAGAGCGAAAGGGAAAAGCATGCCTCTTTTCCTCCCTTTTAGTGTACACAGGCCACCTCCTCCCTCCAGGGCCGGTGAGGTACTGCAGAAATCTCTGTGCCCTCCTCTTGCACAGATTAAGGATATTTACAAATCCTGGCTCCCTGCTGAGTCTCTCAGTTAAACTTGTAAACTTCTCAAGTTGACACAATGTATCAACACCATAACTGGCAAGAAAGGTCCCAGAGTAAGGGTCATGTTATGTCATACTGTGACTTCTCCCTGTCTCCCCTAGAGGAAACTTTTCCATGGGTGGCACTGAGAAGATTGCTCCTTAGGGACATGAGCTGTATGACAAAGCTTTATGACAAGTTATCCTGATAAAGCCCAACAGGTAAATTAATCTTGGCAGCAGAAAGAACAGCAAGAACCAGAAGTGACTCATCATTTAGAATCCAAAAATTTTGTGCCAACAGATGGAAGGTGGTTTTAACACAACAGTCCTCGCTCTGGAAGCACCTGGGGACTCAGCCAACAGTCGTCAGGCCGGGGCAGTCCTGCTGAAGAAATGGCCTGTGAGGTTGACCATGGGCCAGTAGTGACCCCAGAGCTCCCATACGACACACTTCACAAAAAATAAAGTGAGTCCAGAGACATCCCAGTCCAGTAATGATCTTGGAGATGAACCACAGAACGCCAGCATCACAAAAGGAGACACCAAAGAACAAGGCTTCCCTTTAGCTGACGCTCTTATCAGCCTTTTTAAATGGGTTTCCAAAATCAAAGCCGCTTTGTCCCAAATGCAAAAAAAATTTCTCTACACAATTTTTATTTAGGTCTTCAGTAAATTGGGATAAAAGAACGCTTGGTTTCCTAGAGTTTGGGGGATAAGATGAGCCTCTTACATTGGAGTTTGGGGGATAAGAGTTTGGGGGATTAGAGTTTGGGGGATAAGATGAGCCTCTTACATTGGAAGAGAATTTTTTTTATCACCTAAGCAGAACCACAAGCAAACTAGAGTATTTTGGTTGGTATTTGACTGTTTGGATGTCAGCCTCAGAATTAAACAAGAACAAGTATTCTTTTAGTCTAATGCTACATACACTAATGATGCTAAAAGTTCATGAGTCTATTTACCCTGATCCCAAAACCAGAACCAACCAAATCCCTGCACGGAAGTGGAAAGGTCAGAGCCACTGCAGAGGCGTTGGCAATCAAAGTTGAGCAGACTTTTGGTGACTCAGTTACCAACACTCAAGACAGTAACTCATAAAAATACAACTAGGTGGATTTTTTAATCCACAGTACTGGTGTGAGATTTTCCTTTCCTGATTAGAGAAGTTCCTTCGCAGCCCTCTCTGACATTTCTCTGCTTTCAAACAGTTCAAGAGGCAGCAGCTGTGCTGAACAGTTGATGTAGAAGATCGAACCTCTGGAGGTAGCTCTGGACTCACTTAAATCCTATTGCATGAGGTTAAGTAACTGACGTACAGATGCCAGTGGGTAAAATTGAACAGTGCCTTCTGTTTAGAAGGGCGCTCTGGTTAGTGACCTGAGTAGACTGTAGGAGCCAGGATAGTGATATAAGTGTTGGAAGACCAACTCCTGGAATAGATGGTAGCCCAATGATGATGGCTGAGACAGGATAGTAGCCAGAGATGTCATGAGAGGTGGTCAGATTCCGGATATAGAATCTTTTTTCTCTACACAAAAAAGTACAGTTTGACAAGCTGAGACCTTCCCATGCGGATTTGGCTTGACCAGTGTCACCAATTTGGACAGTTTTTGCAGAAACAGCTAAACATGACATGGCAGCCGGGAGATACACTGATCAGCAGTGATGCTCCTCTGAAGGAAATGCGCAAAATGTTCACAGTGTACAAAGGAAATCAAAGCTATTGGTTGCTTGCATTGAGAAGAGACCCAACTAAAAAAAAGTCACTGTTTCACTTAATGTTTAAGTCAAGTTAAAACTAATGATCTTCCTACTCTAGGGAGATGATTGCTCACAGAGGCTGCTAATGACATCTCCATCCCAGCAAAATAGGCATCATGGAGCCTCGCTCCCTCTTTCATCCTTTCCTTTCTTCTGCCCTTCATTCCATTTATGCAGGTTGAGCAGCTGAGTCGGGCTGCACGGCATCTTACCAGAGACCAGTGGTCTAATTAGCGAAACTCTTGGTTAAGTAATTTTAATGACTCCCTGTTCTTTACAATGAGGCAACTGTGTGGTAGGGCTTTGCTCCTTTTGTGACCAGCTGAGAACTGGTCCTCTCTGATGAGCAATGTGGATAACAGAGACTCACTCCAATTGGTGAGCATCCCCAAAAGACAGCCTGAGTCTACTCACACCCTGGCCCGTTGCTACAGGAATAGCCTGTCACTTGCCACAGGTCCTGGGGGTGGGGGATAGCAGCAAGGATGGCCCTCCCAACAGGGAAGTATAGTCTGGAAACTGCTGCCCTCACCCCAATCTCCATCCAACCCTGGGATGCTGTGCATGTCAACCAGACCAGACTCAAGTGTTCCGTGACCTGAAGACTGTGGCTCTGGATTCTTAGACACTTAGTAAGGGATTTCTTCCACCCAAGTCTCAGCCCTAACTTGTAGTTTTCTTCTAAATCGAGCTCCCAGCAGGCCCTCATTGGATTTAATCCATCTGTGACACGTTAATTTAACAAATATATATTAAATACCTATTTGCCAGGTACATAGTAGACTCATTAGTGAACAGGCCCCAGATCCCTGCTCTCATGGAAGTTACATTTAGTAGGGAAAAGACTAAATTATAAATGTAATATGCATAGGAGAAGAGGGCACATACAGTGGAATAAGGAAAAATGAGCAGGGTTTAGAGAGCCTAGGTAAGGGGAGGGTGGCAGAGGACGGACCTTATATGAATGGTCAAGGACGATCCACGTAGAGAACAGGAAAAGGAGGAGTCAGCTTGTGCTGTGCTGGGGGAAGAAAGCTGCCAGCAGAGGGCACCCAGGGGTCCCAAGGAGGGGTGCAGTCTAGCCTGTCAGAGGAAAGACAGAAGCCAGCATGGCTGGAGTGAGGGAGAGAGACAGAGCCCTGTTAGAGACAGGAGTCCAGACCTCCTCTGTCACTCTGGGTCACGCAGGGAGCCATGGCAGGGTGCTGAGCAGAGGAACACACACCCGATGAGTGTGTTCAGATCACTCTCCAGCTGCTGTGACAACAGGCCCAAGACAGAGACAGAAGAGCAAGCAAAAGTTATCAACATAATCCAGGCTAGAGACAAAACCCAGGATGGCAGCCACAGTTGTCATGAAAAGTGGCCGGTTTCTGGGAATACAGTCTATTTAGTTTTTTTTTTTAAAGGAAGCTTAATTTCATTATTAAAAATAGTGTTAAGTGAACGCTAACCCATAATATGCTGCATCATCATCATCCATGATTTTTCCAAGCCGAAAAGGCTCGTTCATAGAATCCATTAGACTCTGCCCTGAAGACAAAAATTTTTAATACAGAACTTGGAAAATATAGAGAGGATTGAAGAGGGAAAAAAATCAACCATAATCCTTTCCAGCCAAGATAACCATTGTTAGTAGTTGGCATGTATTATTTTATCCTTGGAGAATACATTTAGTTTGCACATTACTTTCTTGCCAATAGGCACACATGCATATTTTCAACATTTGTAATCCTAGCAAACACAGTTTTATATTCTTCTTCCAAAATTGTACAGCCTTTATAATTATTTTAAAATTGACTCATATTTCAGCATAGTGAAGTCCTATAATTATTGAACCATTTCCCTTCCCTGGGACATGTCTAGTTTTTCACCATAGAATTCAAGGGTGAAATCTTCCTTTATACAGCTTTTTGCATCTTTTGAATTGCCGTATTCCTTTAGGATAAATATCCAGAAGTAGGGTCAGTAGGATGAAGTGTGTGAAAATTTGATGGATTTTGCTCTTTTGCTTTTCAATGTGGCACATAACAAAGCCAAGAAGCAGTTCCACTGTACCATCTTTCTTTTTGAAGTCACCACTTTTCCTAATTGTCCCTAATTTTTTGGACGGAAAATAGAAACTAGACTTTTTAATTTGCATATCATCAATTACTATAAAACAGTAATATTTTCCATGTCCTTCAATAGATTTTTAATACTAAAGGGAAAAAAAACTGCAGGTGCTTTGTTTTTATCGCCTGGGAGGTTATTTTCTGATAGAGGCCATGGAAATCAGGGACGGCTGGAGGCTGAGAAATTTCTTTGTTTTCCCTACTCATATTTACATGAAGTATTACACGTTTCAAAGACTAGATGGTA